GTTTCAAGCACATTTACGATTTTAAAATAAAAACAGTCGATGCTAAGCAATTAGTATTATCGGCATACAATGCTATAATGCGTCTCTCTGATCGATTTCCGCGCCCCTATTGCGCGAAATCGGAGCGTCATTGATGACATGTAGCACGCTATGACGTCAAAGATGAGCAATTTCCTGGACAGCGCAATCGTTTCACGCATACTCAATCTATTTGTACTGAGCTGTACATTAAAATTGCGATAGAATTTTTTCGCGCAAAATTTTTTTTTTTTAAATTTGGAGACTTAAAAAACATCCGAAAAAAAATTTATCAAAAAGATCTAAAAAACTCGATTTTTCTGTAACGCTATGTATCCTGCCCGAGTTAACTTGGGTTAAGAACGAAGAATAAAAAATGTGATTATAAAAAATGATTGTTTTTATCGAACATTTAAAAAGTGATGATCTTATTTGAAATACTTATGCTCAAAGAACTACAGTCGACCCCCCTATAAGACGGTAGATACGTTCCGTCCTTTATGAATCGATTTCTTACGAGTCCTTGCCAATCACAGCCCGACACATATGCACATTACGGACTACGGCTGTTTGAAAAGTTTTCTTCCATAAAATTAATCGATTTTAGATTAATCCGACTCAACATTTCCAAAATACGTATATTTTTTTGGAAATAATCTGTATAAACTACGCTATAAAGAAAAATTGTAGGATTACTTACCGAGTGTGCACCATTCGACATCGCCGTTGCTCAAGCTTGTTTTCATCGCGGAACAGCTCAGCAAACCACGACCGCGATTTCAGATGTTATTTTTCTGCGAAAACTTTGTTGAACTTTGGAGACATCATTAATATAAATAATTTTAATCGCCATTGAATAAGGAATGTTTCTTTCACACAAAATGTATATAATTACAGTACTGTATTAGACTTACGGTACCTAATTTACATACTGTACAGACGATAGTTCGCCTAAACTCTCCATAGCGTAGCGCTAGACGGCGGAAAGCATATATATATAATTATAATAAAGTTACAATAAATTAAATTAATATATAATTATATATACAGTACCTAATTTATATATAATTTATATATAATTATATGTACAGACGAAACTAAACTCAATTTACCCGCTTAAACTGTCCGTAGCGTGGCGCTGGCCAGCGGGAAAGTAGTTCGGCTGCCCGATGACGTTTTACGTAATTTTAGGAGTTTTTTACCGTTGTGTACGGATACCGCCATAATTTTTTCGCCGTCTTATAGGAATCGTAATTATAGGAACCCGTCTTATAGGGGGTCTACTGTAATGAAAATAAAATGCAAAGTGGCTCTCCTTTTTTCTAGAAAATATTTGTTCATAAAACTGCTGCTTTCATCATCAGCAAGTTATTCCACTTATGTCAGACAAATTTACTATGAAATTTTGTGTTTTTCCTGACATCAAGTGAAAAAAACATGGTTAATGCTTGTCCTTGCACATCATACTTTTCTTATAACATCGAAATGTTGACGGTTATCTATGTAACACCTAACAGAGTGTATATTTTGAATTAAAATAACGTGACTTCTCTTTTTTATCGGAAATTTCTGAGTTGTTAATCGTGACTTTCATTTACGTAACTCCTTCCTTGAGATTAAAAAGAAACAGATAGAATTTTTTTTCAAATTCCAGCCAAATTATTAATTATCATGATAAACTGAAAATAACAATTTATGGGTACTTTTTAGTAATATTTTATTACAGGGATTAAACTGTTAATTTAATATTTAGTTGTAAAAATAAATAAAAATTAACGTATTTAGCATCTGTGCTCGTATTTTACATATTAAATTGACGCGTCAAAATCGAACTGTATGGCGGTTCAAGTAGTGAAAAAAATCTTGAAGGTTCTAGTGTGAATGAGGCTAGCTGTTTCTTTGTCAATGTAGACTGGAATTGATTTCATTCCATATCGCGTCACACTTGCATTAATAAAGATCCACAATGCATTATGCCATTTTCACATTCGCAGATCGCGTCTTAGTTGATTAATAAAGAAATCTCGACAGGAATTTCGCTTATTCAATATGCCAGAACGCATTATGCCGTATGTCCAGGCAATTTTTGGAAAGTGCCACTACAAGAAATACGTGTTGTGGATTGATCTGAGACGTCAGAATGTGTTGGGGTCAACTTTTTCTACAATGAGAGTTTTCAGTCTTTTAGTGTAATGAATACATAAATCACAATATACATCTGTTTTACTTTCAAGAAGCCAATTATCGTGTCATCTTACCATTCCAAGAAACCCTGAATCCTATATGGTAGTCAAACAATCTCTCAATTTTCTTTATGTATGTGTTTTATCGAAGATCTGGCGTACCCTGTGAATTGCTACAATGTCGTCCACTGTGGACTGGCCGAATTCTCGATAAAATAGGAAAATGCCTCTTAGATTGAGAAAGACATTGGATTAAGAGCGAAAATTGAAGATACCTATTTTATCCATTAAAAATGTTAAATATAGAATAACATGCCACTTCGTCAGGTACACCTCTGCTTTCACACAAATTGGATGTTTCATGGAGCTGCAAATAACATAAGCACATCTTTGATATAAATGCAGCAGAATATCAGCTGTGTGCTTGCCTAGTTTTAGAAACATTCTTCAAGCAAACAACTTTGTGAAGAATGGGAAAAAAAAGATCCTAAAAACTTTGAATATCACATGATATGAGCGAAAATCGATAGATATAGCATTTCTAAAACGTTAGCATTGTTGAATTTTAGATGCAACACAGTGTATCGAAAACAGCACAACACAGAAAAACATTCAGCCATCGCACTTCTGTGGAAGAATATTGCTTGTTGATGAGAATAGTCAGTGGAGAATGACTGAAATCATGGACGCAAACAGACATGCACCTTAACGCCCATTGACGAGATAACTCGTCAAGGTTACATAGCGTTACGAAAAAAATGGTCCTTAAGGGTAGTTTTGAAAAAAATTTTTTTTTTTTCGAATTTTTGGAATGTTTTTTAGGTCCCGAAATTTTTTCAAAATTTTTTTCCCGCGCAAAAAAATTTTATCGCGATTTTAATGAGCCTATGTGAAGGCTCGATTAAGGCTTAATTGTTTTTTAATGGGAGTTTTTTATCAAAATTATTTCATGGTTTTTAAGTTGTAGCGCACGGATTTTCATTCAGTAAAGTTATTTAAAGTTAGTTTCTGATGTCAAAAACGACCTCCGATGGTTTTTTAATTTTTTTAATTAATATATTTTTATAAATATATAATTAATTAATTAGGGGGGGTCGGAAATCGCAATAAAATTTTGAATTTTTTAAAAATATTTAAAAATTTCTGTGTCGCTTATAGTCACCCTACTTTAAACCCTTGTCCTCCCGAGACGTCTATGAGAATGTCCCGGGAAATCGGACTCCAGCTGTGTTCAAGGTCACCCAGCTGTGTAAACAATGACTCATCGGTGTTACATTTCACAGACAGGCGAAACAAAGGAAAATAAAATTTAAAGCTTTTTCTTCAAAATAAACGCATTTCTTTCGTTTTTTTTCTGNTTATCAACTAATAATAATAGACAATGCTATCTGTTGACACATCAACACCAGCATTGTATCATCAATTATCTTCCTGCGCTATACTGATTTGCTCAGAATTTGGTAAAAATTTTATAAATTCATAATAAAAATTTCCTGTGTGATGTGCAGACTCTGCAGGTGGAGTAATGTTATAGAAAATGTTTTCCTGACAGAGGTTGAATTCCTTCATACTAACAGATTTATATCCGTATGATACGTCATACCTAAACATCGTTGCGGGCCAAATCCATGCTTTCATACTGGCAATTTATTATGTCAGATTGCTACATTTAGCTAGTTAACCAGCACACAAAGCCTAAATGACAACGGAATGGTTACAAGTATCTGACAATGTCAGTGTCTTGCTAGAGTTGCCTGCTGAATCCTCATACCTAAATCTTCTTGAATGTCTTTGGAAAGATGAGTTGGAAAGAACTGTTCAGTTCAAGCCTCTACCTCTATCAAGTTTTCTATAATTGCATGATATACTTATGATTGCATAGTACTCTATTCCTGTATATTTCCGGAACCATGCTGAATCCACGCCTACATGAATTCGTGCAGTTTTGAAGGCTACAGAATGCTCAACAATACAAAATACATGTATCTGAAAAATTAGATATACCTAAAATAAAAATAAATTTATATAATATATCTAGTTTAACTAAATTTGAACAAACTGCTATTTATTTATTATTTTATTATTTTAATTTATATATTTTTACAGACTTCCAATTATTCAAGTGTAAAAATTTTGGGTAGTTTTGAATACTTTTAACTATTGAAAGTCACACTTGAAGCTATAATATCTAGGTCTTGCCTTGATCAACAATTTCTTTTTCGTGTTTAACTCTTGCTGTTTTACAATACCAACAACATTTTTTGAAAATATATGCTATGCAAATCCTTCACATTTTTTTAAACTCGATTTAATCCAGCAAGCCTCAAGATTGGATAAAAGAGTGTTGGAGTCAACATGTGCATCCACTTTATCTGAAATGATCACTTAAATAATAATTAGCATAATTTACTGCAGAAATGGAGAAGACTTCTGATCATGCTGTTGATTATGTGGTAACAAGGTGTTTTCTTTCCATCAGGACCCGGGTTGAATGTCGTGTCCTCATCAAAAATGGATGCTTCGGTTTTTGCTTTTTAATGCAAACTCGAGTAGGAAGTTGAAACTTTAATAAACTTATTCCCAGTTTAGACCCCAATTGTGGACTTAATTTTTCTGTTAAATTTATCTTTTTCAACTTAAATCTGCGGTAATTGAGAATAAACGATGTTTTTCCGATTATGCACTCAGCAAACAGACAAGAAATAGAAAGGACATAACCAAGAAGGAGTAAGTAAAATGGACCAAGCAAATTTTCTATACTTAATGGGTAAAATTCAGATTTCATTCTGATATTGCTATTTAAATCATCGACAGTTGTAGTAATTCCTGCTTCCAGTAATCGTAACATGCTAGAATTTAAAAAAATAACTTCTGTTATAATAGAATATATTATTTAAAATGATAATTATTCAATAAGATTACATTTTACTTATATTTTCTCTGTATTGATAGTCTTTCTTCATTAGATAAGCTGTAGGTAAAGTAACAAAGGAATCTTTCGAAATTAAGAAGTTTTCAGGACCATGTTCATCTACGAACTTAGAAAGAATGTAGTCCTTAGTAATTAAAGCAAAATCTTCCTTTACAACTTTGTTGAATGCTCTCCCAAGAGTGTTTACGTTATTATTTTCCTTAACGTTATCTGCCAAAATTTTAGCATCACCTGACTGTGAACCCTATGAAAAGAAATAAATAAACGATTTAAACAAAATAATAATGTACGTGAACAAGGAGAGTTGTCACGTAAAGTTGTCTTAGTTTCCTTCACTCGTCAGACACCTAAACAAATATACATTAGGAACAATACAAATTCCTTTGACATTTCGCCCATGCTTTGCATTGACATGTCTTATGAAACCATTTCATGCTAGTTTATTTATTTCATTTTGTTTTCATTGTTAACCTATTTATTCATACAGAATTTTTTTAAATAATTAAACGAAATGAAATGTGCTCATATATAAAATAAGTCTATCTGTTTTACTTACGGGTAAACTAATAAATGGCTTTACACTATAGGAATTGTAAATGGTAGACATGGTAGTATCTCTTGTCAACAATACTTCCTTTTAGTTTTGAGCATAAGACTAAATTGTGAGTAACTAAAGACACTACTGCAATCTTCTGCTTCGATTTTCTAATTAATATCTTATTCTTAACTTACCAAAACAAGTTTTGTTACCGCACTCCCAAATTCTGTACCACACGTATATTCCCCATTACTAACTTCAGACGCCAATTCGTGAATCGTTCTTGGTACATATTGTGGTATTTGGGTAGTCAAAAATGATATGAGAGTTCCACCATAGCTGGTTGCAATTGTCAGAACGGCGAGTAACCAAATTGACATCAATAATCTGGATCGACTTCCACTGATATAATGAAGATTCCCACCTAAAATAAATACAATAGAAAAGTTCATAAATACAATAAAAATATGAAATTCACTGCAGTTCTGTAAACGTTTCTGCCAGTTAGTAAAGACATGGAATGTAAAATAAACGAATTTACCGGTAACATTATGTATTGAAATTGAAATTGAAGATTTAGGAAAATGTATATATAACGTATCATTAGAAGAAAATTATCCAAGATAATTACTATTTAAGAATACAGTAGACCCTCCCTATAACACTGTAGATAATTCCGTGTTATATGAATTCCATGTTGTACGAGTCACTTAGATTTTAGATACGTGTGCCAGTCTGTGAACGGCTCATGTATTTGTAAAATCTAAGTGACTTGTACAACATGGAATTCATATAACACGGAATTATCTACAGTGTTATAGGGGGGTCTACTGTAGAATTAATATTTTCACTATTAAATAATTTACCTTGATCTGTAAAACTACCGAACATGAACCAAAATATTTTATTCTTTGTCCAAGTGTAAGTCATTCTGCTCAATTGACATTCTTCTCGAATCACTTTGTCAAGAGTAAATCCGAAGAGGACAAAAGTAATAAATATCATAAACCAGACCTAACAACAATAACATAAAATTGCTTGTTTTTTAAAAATATTTTATAAAGATTTCTTTTAAAAATAACCTTACTTGAATTGAAAACGGTTTAGTAAGTGTATTCCAACTATTCTTGTCTGGTGGTGCACGAATTACAAATTTGATCTCAGACACGGTTGTACTTGTTGAATACGAAAGAATTTCGGAGCGATCTTTTCTAACAAGTAGAGGAAAAAAGGCAATATCCGCTTCCTGTAATTATAAAATGATACTGACTTACAATTTGTTACAATTTTGGCAAGAGAAGGCCAAGAAAGTATTGTTTGATACAAGTGGGTGAGTATATAAAACAAGCAAAGTTTTATGTTAGAGAGAGAATGAGAGGAATTGTGCTAGGAAAGGATTGAGTGTGTTTAAAAATCAGCAAGAAAATGTGAGAAAGTGTGCTCTAAGACTGTAGCCGAAGCAAAAAAAATGTGTCTGCACAGGACAGTGTGTAGAAGGATGCCGAATGAATATTTGCAATCTATTTTGCCTTCTGCCTACTCGTTTCAATCACAAACACGAGATATATGTATTGATATGTTTGTGCTATTTCATTGCACAACTGGCATTGTACAGTACAATGCGATATTATAATACCATTCTATTATTTTCATATAGTTTGTATTGAAACACAGTTTCATTAATATGACAAGATAAACAGATGCACAAAAAGTATGGATTATAAATAAATAAAATTCAAAATAAATTACAGGTAAATTTGCCTTACATTATTAAGAAGTTGGCCAATTATTCCACTTTTTCCTGAAATTTTTCTTGCAATTGGTTTAACAATTCTGTAGCTAAAAGAAAATAATTATGTCAATATTTTTATTTTTCCTTAAATAAGAGGTAAATAAATTAATATCTGAAATTATTTATTTAAAATTTAGAATTGATGTGCAATATTTTAGTAAATTTAGGAATTTCCATATATTAATTTTTTGTTGTAAACGATTATCCTGACTTCAAAATTTTACAAAAATTTTTCTATTATAGTTACAAGAGAACAAGCATACAAGAAAATATTAATTTAAAAACTGTAAATTAAGATTTAGTGTAAAAATCAATAAAATCACAATCACGATCATTTCTTAAAACATATATCGATTATTTTGCATAAGTTAATTATTATAAAAATGATTTGTTTTATACGTAAATCGGAGCAAACACTACTCGATCAATCTAACATGACGTTATAGACGATTTTCACATCATGAAATGTGTTGCTTCGGAAGAAAGTTGGTCCTTATTGCTTTTCAACTTATTTTCTTTATAAACTCAACTTATTTTCCCTATCAGCAAATTAGTAAACGACTCGTAATATATAGCGCTTATCTTAGTAGAAAGAGACTTTTTTGGTTTATTTTGTTGATTATTTACAATACCGCACAAGAGGACGATCTGCCGACTTGGGGTAGATATCTTTTTATAAACTTGGTCCTATTTCAGTAAAAATATGAAGGAAGCCTATAAATTCCACATGGTTAACCTGTTGGCAGGATGCAAATCCACTGCTAGTGTTTAATAGTTTTAGTCACTCGGCCAGCGGTAGGCTATTTTGGTATTATTGTGCATCTCTTCCATTTATAGTTAGTAAAATTAAACAGCACGCTTTTCTTTTAATACTTTGAAAAACTCGTACAGGGTGGAAAAGAAGTCACTTAACCCTCTTGTTACAGATTATAGAATGTACCCAAAGAATGTACTTTACATTGAGCATAGCATGTAATGTGCATCACTCTGTAATTGTTGGAGGGAGGCCAATAAAATCTTTTAGCAATTAATTTCTTGTGAAACTCTGATCCTGAATGATGTTACACACGACTTAGTGTTTCGGTGTTGCATTCAATATAGCCGTCATAACATGGAGGTCGTGCGTGTAAAACACATCAATCTTTTTCACCCTTGGTCTAATGTATTCCTGACATGATACGATTAACTTTGGCACATTCTATATTCTATAGCAGAGGTGTTAAATGACTTTCTTTTTGAGAAAACGGCGTGGAGCGCAAGGCTCAGAGCTTACAGCACTAGGATCTGAGAATTTGGCAAGCCGCTGACAATAGGAAGAGAGATTATACTTCTCAAGGTACAGGTGAAAACTGAGATCAGACGAGTGCAGACAGAGTCCGTCCATAGTATGTAAATTAATCCAAACATCCGGTCTCCGATTATTTCATCCTTTCCTTGATTACTAGTGTGTGGATTGACAAAGGTGGTATCGTCAAAAACTTTTTTTTGTAAATAAACTGTATATAACGAATGACTTGATATGGAAGTATATTTACTACAAATTTAGCGTTCATTTGCAACATCTCGGCCCTTCCTAACTGAAGAAAACTGGTTGAGAAGACAGAGAACAGATACGAACTTTTACTAATATGGTAAAAAAAATTAATTGGAAATAAAACGAAATGTGATAAGAAGAGGAAAATGAAGGAGAAATAGAAGATACTACCTTTACTTAAATATAATCAAATCTAAACGTATTCATTCATTTATAACAAGAATCTTGGCATAAGCACATTGTGTTCTTTATTGCCAGTCAAATCAAACTTTGTAAAATTTATCAGTAACATAAATTGATCTATAAGAAATTCACATAGAAAATTTATACAGTAGAACTTCGATTATCTAGACTAATTGGGGATGAAGGTAGTCCAAATAAGGAAAAATCCGGATAATCGAAACAAAGACTTTAATTTGTCTTTTAATGATAATACAACACGTTTTCTTTTCGATGACATATCGGTAATATTAAAAGTAAATACTGTAATTAAATCGTGATCAAATTTTCAAGAAACAAACGTTCGTATTGAATTTGGACTACTACTGACCAACGCTAACAGAATACCTATTGTTTAAAAGGCCCTCTGGTGGCGCGAGAAGACGGATTTTATAAAATAAAAAGCAATTGAAACTGCATTTTTATGAATAAAAATTTGACAAACTATTTATCGTTTTATGACAAGTAAAATTTTTTCGTCGCGTTCGCGGTTTTTAAGTAATGCATAAACCTTCGAGGCGCGAGGCCCTTCGGACCTCGAGGCATAGGCGGTGGCCCACGTCGTCCATGCCTTACGCCGCCCTTGGTCATAGAAATGATGTAATTTGAATATAAATTATAAATACTTATGTCAAGTTATATTTTTATTACTACGTAAAATATATTTAAGAGTTTACGACTACTGTGCTGGGTGAGACGTTGTTGAAACAAAAAAAGTTATGCATTCCATCACGTACATAAACAGTGTCGTAATTCGCCAAGTGCAAATCAGCAAATTCGTAAAATTTTTGTTTATTTTGAGCAATCCGGATAATCGAAAATCCGGATAATAGAGGTCCGGATAATGGAGGTTCTACTGTATTATGGTATAACTATATAAAATAAAATCTATATTATTTATATGAAACTACTAATGCAACTGACAATACATAAAATAAATGATTTAAGTTGAGATGCTTACTTAACTTTCAATTGTTCTTGAATAATTTTAAAAGACTTAAAGTGAACACCAGACAGAATTATTTCTTCGTTTTTATCAAATTCCATGATGTACTTGTTCTATAAAATAGCAACTACTCATTAAAAGTTATAGTCAAATTTATTTTCTTATAAAATCGATATTACCTGAATTCCAGCAATTCTCCAAACTGGCATTTCTGTATTTGTTATATTACCTATCGATATTTCAATAATTATATTATATTTATTTATTATTAATACAAATTTTCTAGAAATTGCATTCTTATTTCGTACATCATTTGATCGCATATCTATTAATTAGTACAGTAAACACAGTAAAATCAAGTTAACAATAGCCTTACCTTCTCCATTTATACTAAAAAATAATACAGGTAAAAGGTATGTAGTATGATATATCAAGGCATACATTGGTTATTTTTTCGCTTAATGTATCCGCAGTGTTATTTATAAGACAAATGAAACGTACTCGAGTACGTTTGATTTAGCTCAGAACATTTTCAAAACAAAATTTAATCTGAAAACGTTTTGCTGAATTAAACACGAAACTAATCGGAATATAACGTGACATCTAGAAAATCAACTTTTGTAATATTCAGCGTAGCAATATTTATTTATTTCTTTTGAACATTTTTATATTTCACTTTTATTTGCTGAGTAGAGATATAATAAAAAAATCGATTATACATTAGTCAGCTTTTATTCTAAGTAATTATAATAATTGCTTTTTATATTTTTAGTTATTTTGTATTGTAAAGGCCTTACAAACCCATTTTAAGGCCTTGTTATGTTTTTAATATTGCACCAATATACCAGCAGTGAAGGAACAAGCCTTGGCATTTTGTTCTTGAATAACTCATCAGTAGTTTCTTTCCGGAAATCCAATCCAGTTCCTTAGTGCAGACAAAATATAAATTTACAGTAGAAATTACCCTGAAAGAACACTTTAATACTTCTGATTTATGAAGTAGTTAATGATTTCTCTATAAATCATAATCGATAATGAGTTGATGTATATCGTTTCGCGTATGGTTTAATGAATTAAACCAACTACGTGTGTATTCTACCAAAGAAGTGCTTCCAGGAGGACTTTCTATAAAGAACAAGGTGATATATTGGTAAAATATACCCGATAAACTCCACGATATCAAACCACTGGAAAAAAAACAACAAACCAGTGTTCAGTGGTTTTACTCATTCGGGCAATAGTGGTGTCATAACTGCATAAAGTGATAAAAAATAATAATATACTTCTGTGAAACCGGATTTTTTATATTCTCTGCATATTAAATCAACTAATTTTTTTTTATTGTTAATTGCAAACAATTACTGACGTATTAAATATTCAGTTACTTTCACTAATGGAACAATTGATTATCATACTTTTAGTTTGAATTATAAGATCAATAAAACAAATTTATTTATAAAAGAGCCAACACGATACTGTACTATAATTTCTATCAAACTTTCTACTTAGCAATTAAATCGTAAAGGTTTATCTTAGTTATTTATCGACTTCAAAACTTGGTATGTCAACTTTATAAATAATGTAGAAGATAGTTCATAAGTAAGTTAACCATATGTTTATAATTTTATATTTTGAACTTTGTTCCTTCATAATTCGGGAACAATTCGGGGAATTTTTTCCTACGTAGGGATGTGATTTGTCTACCCAATTTGAAGATAAATAACTACTGTGTCTTTTGTCGAACTTTCTGAAATTTTGTTGGGTGGTTTGTATATTTGAAGAATAGATATTGTATAATTTTCGTGGTTAAAAGAGTAACCCGTACTTCAAATGTTTATTATTATTATTATTTGGTTACTGATATTGTGGAGTTACTCGTAAGTTCGAGTAGGCGTGTAGACCTTTTGGCACATTGATATTAAAGCTGCAGCATTCCAAATATTGGCCGAATAAAAATATGAGACTTTACGGAATGCTCCAATTAGTCATAATAAAACATAATGTAACAGCTATTCATTGGCATTAACGTTCAGATAGATCTTAAAGTTATGATCAAACGGTTCTGAGAAGTTCAGAGATTGCTGCGTTGACAAAACATCTTGATGTACTTTACAATCAAAGATGAAGCGCCTTCATCTTTCAGCTATTCAACTAACAAGGAAACTTTTTTCTGCCGAAAGATAATGTTGATTTCCAAAATGTACTCACGTATTTGCCAATTGAAGAGAAGATGTAACCATGTTTTATCATCATTGACCACCAATTATTAAATTATAATCAGTCGTCAATTTTTGGTAAGTTGCTTTGAGAGTTCTAGCATTAAATGCATCATCCTACTTTCGTAGATTTTTTTGGAAGGTTGCATCAATGGTAATTATTTACAGCAACGTACTTAAGAAATGTCTTCCGAACCCACTCTTTATTATTACAATGGGTAAAATTGGAGATTAGAGACAGAGCCTAACACAATTTTCCCCTAAAACGACCCCATTGAGATTTGTTCGTTAATCTTTCAGCTAGTTAAACAGCTTATCTGTTTCGTATATCCAGCCTTCAAAATAACTACTGCATACAGGCCTATATAATATTTTAAATTTAAATGAATAAGCATACATTAGCAATACGTACAATAATATATTTTTCTCACAATTTAGATCGACATGCATTTTAATAAGTAGAAAATAAAACACGCAATAAATATACATTTTTAATCATTGATTTTTAAAAGTTTACCTTAAATCACGCACATTAATCTACATAATGCATTTTTGATGCTAATTTAAGTTTATAGATTCAAAAGGAATATTAAAATATAGGACATCACGGAACATTTCAAACAATTTAATTTAAAATGTTATTTATAAACAATTTTAAATTCTTAAAAAAAAAACAAAGTGGATTACTTTAATATAACACGAGACTTTTCTTAGAATTAATTTAGTGTTATGGAAAGTAATTTATTGTTTACTGTTATTAATTTAAAAAAAAAAAATGTTGTATAAAATTAATATTAGATGATATAATATCGAACATTAGTCGAAACGTTATGAAGAAGTAAATTAATGAATTTTTTTTCAATGGTAGAATTTTTCAATGGTTAGTGATGTGGAACGTAATTTATGTGCAATCTGTTAAGGTGAGATGCTTCCAGATAAGACATTCTGTGGCAAATTATCCTTATTTGGGTGTTAACCATGTGAAGAAAGACAGCAAAACTATTGGTGAGGAGCGAACAAGGGTTTAACGATAAATTCCATTCTTTACTAATTGACATTATTCACACATTAGCTGTGCAACTGTATGGCAACAGATTACATTTTATTCCCAAAATACATGTCGACCATTAGCTTTCGTAAGGTTTCTTTGGTTACTAAGATTTGCTGGCATGCTTTATCTGATAAGGCACTCAAGAAATTATACGTATGATCAAACATTAAAAAGAAATTGAGATTGTTTCATAGTTTAAGTTAACGCTATTCAACTATAAAATGGTTTATGAAACTGTAGCTGAGAGTAGAGAACATTATATTTAACTAATAATAGAACTAAAGTTATGGAGTTTTTAATACAATATTTGTTATGAATAAAGATTACCTTTTATTCACCATACTACACTAGAATTATCACTCTTCTAACTCTTTATCTATTTGATTTGTAGAAGGTTCACTTGAACTGAATCGAAATGTTAGATTAAAATACAGGTAAACAAATAAGACATTTATACCTTTAATTCAACAAAAGATAATAAATTATTCATAAAAATTGCAGACATACTTATGGGTTAATTTTGTGTATCAAGAGTGGAATTTGACAGTGGAACTGGAAAAATTCTTCATGGAAAGCACGTCACTGAGCTACGACTGTTCTCAGGGTGGGACAGGACAAAACCTTAATGATCAAAGTAAAACTGATTTCTAAATGTTCAAAAAACCGAAAAATTTAATTAAATATGTTTGTCAGAGTTGAAAAAACATACTTTAACGATTCGATATTTCTTGCAAGTGGAAAGGTGAAGATTCGTTGAATTCGAACGTTAAAATATTCAAATGAAGTAGATATTTTTATGTTAACATTTTTAAAAATTGTAATATTATAAAAAGAAATACATATATAGTTTCATTACAATCACTCAGAGATGTAAAGAGATTTTGCAAAATTTATTATTATTCATTATTCGAGTAAATTCGTAAACAATAGCAATCATCAAGTAGTTAATGGGGTTGCTTTCACTGTAACTCCATTCTTCGGATATATTACAAACAACGAATAGACCTTTTCCACGTCCTGTAAAACGTAACACCTTACTATAATGAATAAAACTTATCGTGAATTGCAGAGTATCACAACTGAATTTTTCGAAAACATTTATTACTTTTATGAATAATTGAAAAAATTCGAAAAGTTCACTCGTTATACCAGCATTATAGTTACAAAAAAAAAGAAAAAAACACTAATCAAATCTTACATCATCTCCGTAATTTTCTAATTTGAATGATCGAAGAAGATTTGCCAGAACAAGTCTTGTTATAGTTTTTGCTAACCTCTGTCCTATACATATTCTGTGTCCTACTCCGAACGGTTGGTAAATTATGGAATCGATCTTTTGCTGTTCCCCAGAAGAAAATCTGAAAAAAAATGTAAAATTTCGAATATTATTTCCAGGTGTATACATGTTTTAAACGCAATTAACTTAATACCTGTAAGGATTAAACTTGTCAGGTTCACTCCAATAAGCTGGATCATTTTGTAGCTCATGTAGTGGAACAATTATAATACTACCTTTAGGAATGATTATGTTCTTATAACGATAATCTACTGAACAGACTCTATTTACAGTACTGTATAAATAAATTGTATGAATAATAACAAATAATACGTAATGCAATAAAATTGTATAAAAGAAATAAGACAACTTACAATGCAGTTAATGGATGAAGGCGATGTGTTTCTGAGATAACTTGATCTAACAGTTGAAAATTGCTTAAATCTGAATATTGAATATCCACCTAAAAAATTAAGAAATATACTCTAAATTTGGTATTTTTAGTACTTATTATAACTTATGGCATGTAAAAACATTCACTGTGTTATAGTGGTGTGATTTGACACTTGTATGTGAAGTATGCTTCGTATAGTGTATGCACTAATGTCAGTGTATATAATATTTAGACGGAGTAACATTACCCGTATTTACGGCTGTGTATAGATGTATTTAGCACTGCAAAGGTAATTAAATTTGAGTTGACATTTCTGTAAAACTTAATAATGTTTTTAATTACAACTTTTACCATTTAACTATTTGAGTGATGTAATATTATACATGGAATGTTTAATTGTAAAATATTTAAATACTATAATTTGTTTTGGAAAAGTGTCAAATTTGGCCCTTGTAACATTATATTTCAACGATAAATTACATTTGATTGAAGGTACTGTTTAAAGTCATCAGCTTTAACACCTGCAGAATGAGTGCCATATTTGGCAGTATCTTTTGCATCTTTTTATAGCACAAGATGACTTAGAAAATACAGTGTTTGTTGCTTTTAGAGCTTAAAGTTCCGTAGTAGTGAGTCTCTGTAGTGTTTTTTGATCTGTCTTAAAATGACACCATACGAAAATTTAGTTACATTTCAATGACTAAATATTTCTGTAGGAAATGTTTAAAACAGTTTATTTTTTTTACCTTCACTCATTACTTTTTATTAATTCAGTTGTAATATACATTTCTCAATGAATACACTTTCGCTTATTTAAATTGCCTTAATGTCCTTTTTTTCTTATTAATATGTAAATTTTCGACTATAAATTCGTATCTTCTATTATCAGGACTTATTATACTGGTTTTACAGATAATATTACAAAATTAACAGAAAACAATTTTTATTTTACCTGTACAGGTTTTGTATACCTGTACAGGTATACGAAATAAAATAAAAATTGTTTTCTGTTAATTTTGTAATATTATCTGTAAAACCAGTATAATAAGTCCTAATAATAGAAGATACGAATTTATAATCAAAAATTTACACTTTCGCTTAGTTCGTAGGTGTGTTTCACGATGATATCAGTACACTTCTATTGTACTTTCCTTATTAATTAAATTCAAATGTTAAAGTAAAACAAATACTTTACATCATCAGAGACGTTATTTTTAATTTCTTCACGGACTTTTTCTTGTATTTCAGGATTACGAGCAAGATGATAAATACACCATTGTATAAGAACACTCGTCGTGTCGTATCTGAAAAAATAATTAAAATACTTTACATACAACTTAAATTAATGTTTGTATTATTAATAAAATTTATAAACGTAATTAATTACCCGGCTGCCATAAATAACAGAGTATTTGAAATCACAAACTCGTCGGAAAGTCTCTTCATTTCTGAAAGGGAATCATCTTCGGCATCAATTAGTGTCTGTAGCAAATCTCGTGGACGTTCCTGCAACAAAAAATACAATCATGTTATACGAGATTTTTCGATTTGTTCAACGTTTTCTATCAACGTTCACACCTCTAATTTCTTTCTACAGGTGATAATTTTCTTACACGTTTCATAAATCATCGTTAAAGATGGCAGATTCATCATATACTTTAAACTGTCGATTTTATGTCGAAGGAATCTACAAATTGGCTCTACTTCCGGAAAGCAAACTAATATATAAAATTTAAGTTTTATAACGATACATTTTACTTTATTTGTACAATGTTTTACATAATATACCTGATATTCCAGCTAAAATATCTGTATGATCAGATGAAAGTGTGACATGAGCCGACTCTATAAACGTATTACTTTCGTTGTTTTGGACATTTGTGTTTACACCAAATGATGATAAACAATGTATTTCGAACACTAAGTTTTTACACATTTTGCCAATGTTAAATGGTTGATCACCGTGATTTTTGATGTTATTTAGAAAGATTTTTATCGGACGAGGCATTAGAGTACTCATCTGAAATAGAAAAAAAAACATTACAGTGTTATGTGACGAATCTTGCATAAATGCGTAAAAACTGCATACCGTTTTAAGCTTCGCTGTACTGAAACAAGTATTTAGAATACTTCTTATGTTTTTCCACTTTTGATCGGTTAAAACGCCAAGTACATTTCTGTACGAATGATGAGGAATTCCTCCATCAGCTAGCACCCACTTGAAACATAAATAGAAAAATAAATTTCAATTGAAAAAATCGACAAGTTAATAAATACGGATTTCTGCGGCTACATACATCTTTGTTGTAAAAGTAGTAATTATCCTTTATTTGACACAGTTTTAAGAACTCAATATCAGCGCATACTAAGTAAGGTTTTGCACCTAGATAAAAGCTAAAGATATGTTGAATAAATTGACATTTATATAAATTTTATATTAAATTTCATAGTTTATTTCTTATCTTTTATATAAACGTATGCAACTCTAACAATTAATGAACTTTAAGTATACTTTTTAAACGAATAAATTGAAACTTACCCGAATATTTTTCCATATTGTTGTAACCATTCTTGCATACACCTGTCTCTCTGTAAGAATGGCTCTAAATTTAATTTTGTTCTAACTTTGTATGAATTTCAAGTTTTTGTTTAAAAAATTACTCACGTTTCGATTAAATTCGGTAAAATTTCCGATGAAGAAATTCGGTTTTGGTCCTGGTATTAAATACCGTTGAAAGAGACTCATTTTTCGTTTCCTCCATCTGTAAAAATTGCGTAAAAAGTAAGAAAGTTGCTGAATTTTTATGGAATTTTATGCTTAATGATTAAAGAAGTACATGTTTAAAAGTCACCTACAATTAATTTTTATCTGTAGAATCAATATGGAAAAAGCACACAAAAAATATTCTGAATCATGAATACTCATACAGTTTTTCATGTTCACAATAAATGCAAGTTTACTGGCTAGCAGAGAAGACTAACAGGTTATATTAATGATATATATAAATGATAGTGACATGATGAATTCACTATTAAATTTTTGTCGATTATTTGCCATCAGTAAGCAGAGGATATCAATCATTGAAGAATAGTAGTTAGTGGCAGATTTGCACCCCATAAAGTCGAGATTTTCGAATTGTCATTACGTGTCTAACACATTTTCTCATAGTAAATTCCCCTCACAGAGACCCAGTATAGTCAGTTTCCCCTTGTTGTCACCATGCTTTACTGCTTTAAACAAAGCCAATTAAAAACGTGTGAATTCATTCACACAGGAAAATAACAGTGAAAAACATAAATTTAACATGTAGACAATTTTTGGGCTTTAAACAAAACATTCTTATGTCAATTATCTAATTATCAAACATCTAATTATAGTATAATTATAAATAATAATGATGTCACTTACCTTATCCACAATAAAATGACACAAACGATAAGAGAATAAAGTATTGTTGTAACTATATTCATCCTAATTAAACGTATTTCTGATATGATATACCTTATCTTATTATCTCAGTCTGGATCCTTTGTTAAACATTACAGGTTTGAACTCCTTATGGAAAACAATATGATAAATATTAGATATGTAAATATAGTTTAAAATATATCATTAAATACATAAGATATTTATAGGACAATATGTGGCTTGCCGCACCTTCACTATACCCTACCAACTATACAGATCAATTGCCGATTTCTACATTAGTAGAGTGTAGAGTATTGTGCGCTCGCTCCTAAAAGGACAAACCATAGGCCATTTTTTTGCCAATGGCGAATTTATAACTATTTTTTAACGCCTTGTTAATTTCCACCCTCCCTGTTTATAAATGTCAAAATATGTATGTTTGTATGAAACACTACCAAAATTAATATGGATAATCTTTCATATCTTAGTAAAAGTACAATGGGGTTCATCACCATAGTACTTTTTGTAGATAACTTAAGTCGCATAAATTTTTTAGCACATTTTACAAACTAAGACCACTGTTTATATCTTCCAATTCGAATCCAATTTCACCATTTTATACTTGTTAAAAATTCGTGCAACACCGGAAACACGCATATACTTGGGCTATAATTGTGAAACTATAAATTCTCATTGTCATCCTTATTATACCCTTCCTGTACTGTAAACAAAAAGGGTATAATTCATAGGAGCAATTCTCTACCGATTTGAGGTAGGAAGTACATATTTTAAATTAAATAAATTGAAAAAGTATGATTAAGAACTGCAGCCTGGCATCATGACCATGTCACAATAAATAGTTATTCATTCAAACTGAATTATTTTTTCGGATTTATAATGGCAAATTATATTCTGTGTGTTTGAAAACAACAACTGTATTGTAGCGTATAATTTTATTGTTTAGGTAATTGGGCATGGGTTCTTCCCAGATCAAAAGAATGGCCGTTGTATTCTGAGTTTTCTTCGCGTGTCTAACTGGTAAATAGGGCATAGCAGTCTTCCTATAGTTCACGGTTGTGTTGAGTTGCTTTATTTTATGAACCTTTCGTATATTTTTATTCATTTATTTAAATCTTACGAAATTAATGCCAAACACAAGTTTAAATACATAATTTCTGTATATATAAACACTATGAAATTTCCTTCTGCGAACTAATTTATAAAATAAAATAAATCTAGTCAATAATATTTTTAATAAATATTAAAATTACCGTATAATATGGAAAATATACTTACTTTGTGTTGACATCAGATTTGCACGTTTAAAAGTGGTTTAAATAATGAAATTAATCCAAAATTAGCTTGAATGTTATTCCTGTTATTACTGGTGACTCGAAGGGAAAAAAACGAAATAATATTGTGTAAGACTTTTCAAGATAAGCTTATCTTTCAGTCTGTAGGTCAAATTGTTATATTTTTTATCGCTATTTCTGCTTAAACGTAAGACTTGTTTTTCTGTTTTGTATTACTTCCCTGGATGTTTATATATAGTGAAACCTGCTAATGTGATCGCATGTGTGAGGTGACCACTCTGAGCTGCTCCCTTCAGTAGTCAAATTACCTGGTTTCACTGTGTAACAAGAAAAATACAATCGGATAAAAAATCACACTCCAAAATTTTCATATTTTTAGACTCATTCGTTCAGATATACAAAGTAATTTGGAGAGTTTACCTGTATGTACGGATGTTAGTGTGTGGGGTTAGGGCCCTGTTCAACGAATTTAAAGCTTAATAATTCTAATACCTATTGTCAAAATTTTCTGAAATTGAAGTTCTTCTGTCGTCATATCAGTTTCAGTGTTTTTGAGAGAAACACTACTTACTCGTAGTGTTTTTCCTAGGAACAGTTAGTTTTCAAAAAATTCAGTTTACCCTAAACACCATGCACAGATATAAGAAACTATTAATTGGGAAACTTAAAATCACTCACCTGTAATTAAATTTGATTACTCTTCAACCCAATATTAAGACAAGTACAAACTATTCCTTTCAGGGCAATAAGAAAGTAGTGCAATATAACTAAATGTTTTATAATTTAGACTTGCGTAATGTTACATTTACTTGTGCAGCTTGTGATAAAAATTAACTTCTATAATGTTCATCGATAGCAACCAGTTCAAAATACCTACGATAATTTAAATGTGTTTGACCTGAAATGAATGACGAATTACAAACATTGATATCCGTTTTTAAAAAAAATTAGTACAGAAGATAGCAAAAGTCCAAATTCTGCTAAAAATTTCCTTTAATTTACAGAGAATTCTCTGCTCTTATTTTACTATGTACATAGTACAATGCACGAAAATACGTTTTTATGTATTTATAATGAAAACAAAAAAGTGTTACATTTTAGGAATTTTTAGGAAAAAAATTTTCAACTTTATAAGCGTTTTTTACGAACTGTAAACAAGTCTGTTGCTATGTAAGCACTGATTCGCTTTGTCGTATGTGCTTTTTAACTGTCCCTACCATCAAATTCTTTCTCTCAAACACCGGGCCAAAAGTATTTTAGTATGTCCAAAAATACAATCTGTAATATTCTACAGCAACTAGAGGTAAAAATGCAGATTATTGGCAGATAACTTCGATAGTAAACAATTTTTAAACCGTAGTTGGTCAATTTCTTTGTCTGTTATTAGATCCACCGGTAAAAACAATTGCCGGAAAAATTCCCGCGAAATGCACGCCCCCTCAGACTGCCACTTTGAATTATGTAAACAATCGCAATAAAATCGCGTGTTTTCATCGTTTTCTCACTTTTAATTTGCCAATGAAAAGTTGTTTGACAGTCTTCAGACGAATAAACATGGTTTAAAAAACCGTTTATCAAAAAATATTCCCGGGAAAATCCACCTTTCAAACTTTCAATGCTAAGTCTATGGGAGACCTTTTTGCCGTTAATAAACTTTGAAAATTCTGTTTTTATGCCTTTTATGCTTTAATTAGTCATTTCTATCATGACTGACCCGATATCAAGCAATGAGCGTTCTTGCAGAATCCTAACTCGGTTCCACCCCGTCGCTTTGTCGCGCTAATTAAACTCACTGCAGTATTGTAATTGTAGAGATCCCCAACCCCATTAACCTTATTCTAATTTGGATGCCACTTGGATGACCGTTGTTCTGACATTCTTCCACTTTAAAAGATCTTTAGTAGCAGACATTGGACCACCTGGTATCCTACCACCCCGTATCCAAGTTGATCTCTAGCCCGATAGAAAACGGTGATCGATTACCGCTACAAGTCAACGATTGTTACGTTGTTTGGACTTATTTTATAGACTTAGTCAAAACAGTCAAGTATTAATGAGGAGAAAGTGTCAATTCAATAAAATTATGTTGTAAGGAGAGTCGTAACAGCGAGAGAAAATATCAACAATCCGACCAAATTGCTCAGTTCGCGACGTCCCGTATCAGCTGAACCCGGATACAGCTCGAACAACGAACTTTTAAATCTAGCATCACTTGATAATTTTCCCACGATAAAAACGTATAAAAAGAGGTCACACCTTGTCATCGAGAGACATAAGCGGAAGACATATTACCAATCGACCAATGATGGTGTCGTGTGTCATATTACCAATGGATTACGGAACGGACTGATTGACTGGCCGTACAGGAGTTGATTTAAGAGACATGAGCGAAGGGACATAGAAAGAAGACGAAAAAGAAAAAAGGAGAGAAAGTGAGGAAAAAAAAGTAAACAACTCTTTTCCTGGTATGTTGTGAGTCGTGCCCTCTTTAAGTACTCTCTTGATTTATAGATAGTAATCAGCCAATTTCCTATCTCGGATTTTATAATTTTGTTTAGAACTCTGTTTTTTGATAAAAACTTTTGTTTTGACTCTTGTACTTGACTCTGCATTCATCCTCCTGAGAAGCTCATTCCTGGACTTCAAAGTGACTCTTACACTCACGCCTTAACAATTTGTTCTCTTTTTATTTTATTTTTCATTTTTTGGTCTAAATCAGAGATGTGTCCAAAAAAACACGACTGGTTGTGGGACCTCACCCTAAGCTTGAGTAATCTAATTTTTGACGCCCCGACCCCGAAAGTAAGAAGAGTAGACTGTGAAGAACCGTGTCACATTTCGGCTATTATCTCCTTTTCCTAACGTAGATTTGACGGAAGTGGACTTTCCTGGCAAATATGTCATTTTAACATGTCCAGTTCGTTCTTGATGGGGATGAGATCTGGGCTTTGCTGTGGTCAGGTTGGGTGTCAAAAGTCGTTTTCATGCTCACTGAACCACTGTTCAACAATTCTTACGCGATAAACAGTAGCATTGTCACCAAAAAAAGCCGTAATCAAAGAAAGGCAAAAAATGCAACATTGCAGGATGAACTTAATCCACAACATTATTTAGGTACTTGTTGGAGTCACCCGATTTTCCAGTTATATTAGGTGATCAGTTCTGTCTAAACAGAACACGCCCCATATCATAACACCCCCACTATAACCTTGAGTCGTGTTAATGAGGTTTGGAAAGAGGTCTGGAAAGAGGTTTGGAGAGAGCCCCATTTGTTTATGGGGCTCTCTCCAAACCTCTTTCCAGACTCTCGGTACAGAATAAGGTGTACCGTGGTTCGTCCGACCACATTACTTTTTTCTATCCTCAGATGTCTAATCATGGCGCTCTTTGCGCCACTGTAGACGAAATATCTGGCTTTTCGCAGATAACATTATTGTCTCGTATTGTCTCTCATAGAAAATAGAAGTTTCCTCGTAAATTTTTATTTGTATAAAAGCTAATTTCGTTATCACAATACACAAGTGCGAAAATGAGATGATAAGCTATTTATAAAAAAAAATGAAGGTTATTTATATTGTATGAAAATATCTTGTTTATATCAATATATAAATATAATAAATTGTATAAAATGGACTTATTTTGTTAAAATATGAAGTAGAAGGTATAAAAATTTAATAAAATACAGCTAAACTTCTAAGAAAGGCAATTTTTTAGGAACCCTTTTTTCTGAAATAATTAAAAAGTACACTTAAAAAATACGATTTCCTGCATAAAACAACCGTATTTTATATTCTCTTGTCACTGTCCGTTGTGCACAGGTTTGACCGTATTCTTAAATTTATGCTAATTATTCTGTAAATAAAATCTACATTAAGTACATACGTGTTGCTTTCAAGGTTTAATTGTTACACATGCTTTAATGACAAAACATTATAAAATTTCATTACTTTTACGCTTGAAAGGAATGGTAATTTGTTTAGAAATTTCTATTTTTTCGAACAATATTTCTATAACATGTAAATTAGAAAGACAACTGAATGACCTAATTAGGTGTTAGTAAATGATATAAACGTGGAAAACTCCACTTGTCTATTTTGTTAGTGAGGTTCGAACCCGCAACCAAGGGGTTTCTGTTAAACTACAATGATTACGTTGAAATTGCTGATTAATTTTACTGTATATAAAGATTAGTTTTATTTATTTATTCTATATAACAGTTTCTACGTAATTTTAATTACATATAATTACATAGAAGCATATTCGTTCTGTATTTAAAGGATTTTAGTTTATAATGATAATCTCCAAGTTATATTGGAATGTGACTTAAAAACATTTTAAAGAAATAAATAAATATTTATTCATATAGCGTGACAGACAGACCACATTTTAATTATATTAAATATCTTATGGGAAACGCAATGACTATCGCTCCAGAGAGGGCATTCGTATTTATGTGTTTGCATGTAAAAAAACCAGAGAAACTACATGACAATTTATTGTTAGGCTCAAACCCACGACCACGGCATCAGTACTAAACATTAAACGGGCAAAAACACAATGACAAAACACGTTCCTTCTGTTTATTAAAAAATAAAACAAATCAATCAATAAGTTATAACTCGAAGAAAGTAAACACGTAAATCTTAATATTTGGTTTTGAAATTAAAGGTGAATGTAACAGTTCCACGTGTTGACAAATTAAGATTTCTTTTATTAGATAAGTTAAGAATAGTAATTTATGATACAACAAGTAAGTTGCGATTGAAAATTAGAAAGCATCCAGTTTTTAGGTGTATTATAACCATATGGCAAGTATTAGTTAAGTTTCCTAAACTTTGACGTCATTTCTCCATGAGAGGAAAAACCCTTTTAGAGAAATGAAACCAAAGTTCTAAAACTGACCTATGAGAGATACGTCACACGAAGATTAATTTAATTACAGATTAAAAAATAAGCCAGGAGTCTGAGTCTGGAAATTATAATAGCCGTAGGATTATGCCTAGAAATTCAACAATGTTCACAATGAAACTAAATTAACACGTTATTCCATTAAGACATTACGCCTTAAATTACCTGTATTTTTATATATGTTAATTGAATTAAAATAACTCATTTATATTTGCATTCTCAATTCGAAAAGTCAAAAGATTTGTTCAGAAGACACAATAAACTAAAGAAAAACTCTCTTCACAATTTGTTTTATTTCCTATTATAGGATTCGATACGAAGTCTGGGGAGCGTTAATACAAGGTCAATACATCAAATCAATTTACTGTAAACTCAGATGTATATAAGTACAGCTGTACTTCTGTCTGTGTTCCTGTGTATTGTTTCATTATGGATAAGGTGAGTGACTCTATTGTTGTTTATAATTACTACTTCTTATAGTTTATATTGTATTACACAACGTTATAAATGCAACTAAAGTAAATCAAGTCTGGGTTTCACGCTGGTTTCGGTCGTTAAAGTGATATTTTTGTATAAGTGCTAACAAAAATCGTTCAATAATATAAATCTAATTGTATGGTTACATGATGGTCTAACTAATTAGAAACGGACGATAATTTCCCTATAAGATCTTATTTTAGATAAACTTTTTTTAGTTTATTAATATTGAGGTGATAGGATTAATTTCTGTGCTACGTAATACCTTTCTAACAATGAACCTTCTCTCTACCCCCTCAGCGAGATGGTAGAGGAACGTTCATTGGTTCTTTAAATCAACCTCTTGAGTGATATCAATTGCCACGAGACAGTCGACAAATAGTAGAATAAAATGTAGAACTCTCGAATTATGTCAAGTGCATACATTATAGCTTATTATTAAAATAAATAAAGTTCGCCGAGCATCACACGTTAGGAGTCCTTTTCTTACCTCATTTTATACAATGTCTCTCAATTTTCTTTGCCGATTCTTCGAGAACTTAGCAAAATCAAATCCAGAAATTATTAGAGATGGTTGCAGAGAGAAAAGAACATCGTATACCTTACAAAACTTTTTACTACGTGAGGTATCGTACCTAGATTAACTTGGGAAGAGTTCCTGAAAGTAATACAGATGCGCCTTGTTTATCCTGCTAAACTTTTTTTGAAACTCAGAGTTTACGACCATATAATTAACATAATTAGTCCCTTCTTCCTTAAACGTATTCTACAATTGTTTCGCTTTTTATCCTTTCTTCTTCTCCAATCTACCGTTCAATTCGATTTTCATTGCAACAATTTTTTACGATAAAACTCAGGTTGTCACAATACGCACCGCGTAAGATTTTCCCTTAACGTAACGCGTATTTTGTAGAAAGAATTAAATCCCTTAGCGTAAATAGAACCGATATTGAGAAACCCCCAAATTTTAATGTGAAAATCTACATTCATGCGTGTGCCACTGTCGATGTACCCACATGCACTGCGGATGAAGAGTAAACTCTTAGGTATTTCATACACATGCATTTGTAAAAATTAATGTTTATTTCCTGTACGTATTTAATTTATTAATTTTCAAAATTATGTGCACTCTGTCTCCTGAGTGACCCTGCCTATATATTCCGACTTATTGTAAATCGATGAAATGATGCCAATAATAGGTAAAATAACGATTAAAATAAGGCAACGAACACATGGGTCATATGCAAAAAAGTATTATTTTCACAAAAAAATAAACTTTCTATAATGGAAAATAAGCATTTATTTAAAGCTATTGTGTAATTTTTACAGATGGAGGAAACGAAGGATGACTTTGTTTCAACGTTACGGGATTCCGGGTCCTAAACCGAATTTTCTCTTCGGAAATATAAAAGAATTTAACAAAGGAGTAAGTGGTTGTAAATAAAAAATTCTAAAGAAGTTTTTCTACGTAAAAGATTAAGTTTATTCCATTTTTGTAGAGAGACAAATGTATTGAAAACTGGTTGGAAGAGTATGGAAAAATATTTGGGTAATATTTAATTTTTTGTTGAAAAAATTCACATTTCGTGTACAATATTGTCTATACAGATTTCCTATAAGTCTAGAACTACACAAATTACATTCATGTTTCTTTATTCTTTTAGAAGTAAAGTGTGGTACTCAGTAAGGAGGAACGAGTTCAAGTTAATTTAATAGTGCAGACTCACAGTTAGTGTGAACTTGCTGAAGAATTAAACATGGTTCATCCAGACTACGATGTGTCATTGATGGAAAATTTGATTGCAGAATAAAAAGGTTTTCAGCAACGTCTCACTGGCTGGTGGCCTCATCATTAAAATAACTTAAATCCATTCCTTCTTACTCGTTCCTCCTTACTCATCCCTCTGGTGAACTTGTAAAACTATGCTTATGAAATACCCTAAATAAAATTATCATATTAACTTAATTAAGGATATGTCGAAAATCTTGTGTAAATAATTATTTTTTTCACATATATTTAGATTTTTTTTAGGTGCAAAACCTTATTTTGTATGCACTGATGTTGACGTTTTAAAACTTTGTCAGATAAAAGAAAATTACAAGTTTTACAAGAAAGACGTAAGTATTTTGCAATGTTCATAAAAATTTCTAATTTTTCATTATATTAAGTGTTTCGTTTCATCTTTCTTATTCCAAGTGGGTGTTACCTGATGCTGGGTTTCCTCATCATGTTTGTAGAAATATGATTGGCCTACTCTCTGAGGTAGAATGGAAAAAAATACGAACTATTCTTACTAATTGTTTCACTTCAGGAAAAATCAAAATGGTATGCAATGTGGTATATATTTCTTACATAAACTATTGCGAAATGTTCGTCCTTTTCATGACATTGCTATCTTTTAGATGAGTTCGTTAATGTCTCGCCCAATAAAAATCTTTCTAAGTAACGTAGACAAGCAAGGAAATCATCCGTTCAATACTGTCAGCCTTTGTAAAAAGTTGGTATTTGATATAATCTGTACAACAGCATTTGGTATAACCACAAATGTTCAAAATGACGAGACTAATAAATTTATTGAGTCGGTTCATGCTGCATTCTCAGTCGATTCTACTGACATTTTAGCTGGAATAACAAGTGATTTGTTAATTAATTTTTATTATTTATGTTATTATACGTTTACTAATTTGTAGTCATATACTTCATTTAGTTTGCTTTCCGGAAGTGGAGCCTGTCTGTAGCTTTATTCGCTACAAAATAGATACATTAAAATACGTGTTAAATCTTCCGTGTTTTACGGTGATTTATGAAACCTGTAAAGAAATGGTCATCTCCAGAAAAAAATCAGACGTAAGGTTACTTACATGTGATTATTTAAATTGAAATATACAGATTATATTTATAATATTTTGTATTTCAGCAACATCCGCATGATCTGCTGCAGGCGATCATAGATGCTGAAGATGAAAATGGTGGAGGAATGAAAAAACTTCCAGACAATTTAGTAATTGGAATCGCGATAATGTTTATGGCAGTCGGGTAATTGCATTCAAGTGCTGAATATAGTACTAAACTCATAGGGTTTTCATAAACAATTGTTTTAACACGCTTTGCAGATACGACACGACAAGCACCACGTTGGAGTGGAGTATTTATCATTTAGCTCGTAATCCTGATCTACAACAAAAAGTCCGTGAAGAGATTAAAATGAACGTTTCTGACGATGTAAATTGTTATTTTTAATTTAATATAGAAATATGTTTTACTAAAATACATGTTGTGAAATAAATAAAATTTCTTTATTTTTATGAAAGTTCTATTAGTTAACATATAGTATTTTCTGTACCTCTACAGAAAATATTATATGGTAAGTAATTAAAAGAGTTTGCTATAAATTCTTTTAATATAGAACAAACTACTTCAAAATTTGTGTTCAAACAAAATTTTTTTGTTCTCTGTTCAACCTAAAAATTTCCATTTTATGTTCACTCTGAAGATGAATATAGAAATTATCAAAAAACATATCATTAAAATATTCAAATTGGCCTCTAAAATGGTAATATAACAAGGTTTTCAACTATATTAGCTAATGCAAGAGAAGAAACTAAATGGTATTTTATTGAAGGAGAAGCTATGTTTGATGAAAAACATTTATTTTTGTGTTATCTTTGACACATTACAAAATAGAAGGTTTATGTTTACAATGTTCTAATATAATGTCAAATCCTCAAGAAATTGTAATGGACTTGTTAAAATACTATGTTCTTTTATTAATATTAAAAGAATAGCATTTTCAAGCATGAAAATATGTTCCAAAGTGAAAAATTGATTTGAACGAAAAGAAAGCCTTTGTAAAACCCTTGGTAAAAGATTAAAAGAACATGATACCGCTATACATACTATACATCTTAAACATAACCAATCACTATGGTATCATCACACAGAACAGACAGGTTGCACAATACACAAAAATCAGATTAAAATTTTACATCTTGAAAAGGACATACACAAAAGGAAATTTAATTTGATAGCAGAAAACATCCATAATCTAATGTACTGTATGTATTAGATAAATATGTTCCAAGTCATGTTTGTGTCTTTTCATTTTTAAGAAGATGGTTGCTTCAATACAAAGTAAGACACTATTATATTCACTTTTATTGTCATTATTATGTTTAATTAATTTTGTACTTATACCTAGCTCTTAATTTAAGTTACAGATGAGGGGCTGTAAAATGTAAGTTGGCCCAAAATGCATATAGTTATGTACGTAATCAAACAAAATAAACATAATTAAACTGTAGTTTTGGATCAGTGAATTACTGTTGGCATTCCTATACAACTGCAGATGCAGGATTATGGAATTCCCAAGAATTTTTTAATTGGAATATAGCTGGTATCCCAACAAGAAAGCAGTGTTTATTTTTAAAATGTTTAAATTTTTTAGTTTAACATTTAAAGTTTAAATTTATATTATAAATGGCTAAAGACAAAAAAACAAACCAAGTTATGAGATTAAACAACCTATTATTTATCTTTATGAAATACTTTTTGAAATAATCATAGAGACAATTAGCACAAATGGTGGGGTTACACAATATTTGGTTCAAATCAAGTACCACGCCTGGACTTAATGGGAAGCAAAATACAATGATCCAAAATAACACTTATATAAGTAAAAATTCACAATAATGTTTATTAGATTGAACAGTATTGTATATATAAACAACATTGATTATAACANGCCAGTTTTAAACGATGTATAATACAAGCTTACATCTTTCATATTTAAAAATATATATTTGTATGGGGAAATCACCTCGAAATGAGACTTAAGAAGACTATTAAAATGGGGTCTGAGAGATGGAAAATGATCTGTCTCGTAACCATTGCCTAATTGAAATCTAGTTCTCTATACGACGAAAAATTTTTAGGGTGCAGCAGCGTGAAATCTCTTGTTAAAGTCGCAGAGATGTCCAGAACTTGAAGAATTTCCTGGATTTCCCAGAGCAGAAGTCAAAGCTTAGCCTACGTGATGTAGATACACGTGTAAAAAAATTTCTTAACTAGCAGTTGACTTAAGAAAGGAAAAGCTCGTTTATCCTGTTGATGAGGATAGAACACGCAACCGTCACTCAGAGGATTTTCTTCTTAGCTCATTCGTCGACATTTAATGAAAATAAACGGCAATTCTGCTACATACACATTTTTCTACTTAATTAATGTGTGAATTAAACAATTGATATAACGTGCCGAATAAATTTATTGAGTGGAAGCTTAAATTCTATTATTTAAATCATTTTAGATGGAAATCCAATATTCCGACTTATGCAAATTTCAATTGCTAAATCAAGTTATTGCAGAAACTCTTCGATTCTGGCCATTTTCTTTCTTGTAAGTACTCTTATCTTTTTTATTTAATTTCATTAATAATACGTTAAAAACTTTTTATACGTAGAGTATTGAACAGAGTATGTGCCGACGATTACCATTGTAAAGATTTCACAATTCCTAAAGGTGCTATTTTAGCAGTGCCAGTACAAGTTTTGCAAAAAGATCCAGCTTATTGGAGTGAACCTGATAAGTTCAATCCCTACAGGTACACTATTAATTACATTTAAAATTGGTTCATTAATTAGTTCTTATAAAGATTTTATTTAACAATAAATTACACTTTCAGATTTTCATCTGAAGAACGAAAGCCAATTGACTCCATCGTTTACCAACCATTCGGAGCGGGGCAAAGAATATGTATGGGACAGAGATTAGCAAAAACTATTTTAATTTTAACATTGTCGAATCTCCTGCGATCGTTTAAATTAGAATTCCGTGGAGACGACGTAAGCTATAGTTTATTCTCTTTGTTAAATTGATACAGAATATGGCAACTGAAATTCTAATCATCGCACGAACAATCGGATTTACTTGCTCAGGTATTAAGGCTAAAATATTACCAAGACTTTAGCAAAAGACTAACAGCCAGGACGTAATATATTGTTAAATATAATAACTTAACAATATATTACGATTATAAAAGACTGGAATAACTTAAAGAAAGACTGGAGATATTTGACAACGAGGATACAGGCTACCCCATTAACCAGGCGTTGTTAAATAGTTTCATCTACTTTATTAGTAAGAAAAGCCCCCACCAGTGGGCGAGTGGTCTCCGTTGCCGCTCATCGTAGTGGTGACTAGACCCTAAAGACTGGGAGGTTCGTCGTGGGTTTGCGCCACGGTCGGACAGGCTGGCTGCTTGGAGTTTTCCGGGTTTTCTCCTTGCCTATAACGACTGAATAGGAGGCCAGTTCCCCATAAAAGTCCTCCCGGAAGGCATTTATTTCCCGCGCGTACGTATGGCTGTTCGATAGGAGGCCAGTTCCCCATAAAAGTCCTCCCGGAAGGCATTTATTTCCCGCGCGTACGTATGGCTGTTCGATACAGCCGGCTAATCGGTCGGCTAGCGATCATACATATACACAAGTCTACTCGGAGAAAGAGCCTACATTGCGCTAAAATCTCCATATAAACACCATCGAAGAAGAAGAATTAGTAAGAAAAACATTAAATTTAATATTATTGAGTATTCAGTCGCTATATTCTGTAACTGTATACTGTATTTTTACCATGGCATTATAATACAGAGTATTTTTTACAGAAGATGGAAATATTGCATACACTCTTCTTCACCTATCCTAAGAATGGAATTATTATCAAGGCAATCACGTTAAACTCGAGTAATTAATAATAATAACAAATAAACAATAATACAATTTAAAATAATTGTATGACATTTATAAATGTAAGCAATAACTGATAAAATCCGACTGTAAAACCAACCATTTAATGTCTGGCATGTTTTTTTTAAAGTAAACAAACATTAATTAATTATTAATTAATTGTCCAACAGATCGAAAATCTGTAGCTTGTTCGGCAATCGAGTATTTGTTCGAAATTCAGTTCGTAAACTGAGTTGTTCGAAAACCGAGACTGTACTGTACTTTATTTATAACACAGCAAAATAGTGAATAGAAAGGTTAAAACATTATTTCAATTTCCATGTCGTTTTTATTTGTATTTTAGTTAAACAATAAAGCAATATACAACATAATTTCGTTGTATTAATTGTCTTTATGATGTATTAATGATTTATCATAAGTTTACGAAGGGAATATCTCTTAAGAATAATTTCTAAACTTTATTATATTTAGACGTTAAAAACGTAAATCATTTGTTGGGCGCGAACCCATAATTATTATATAGTGGCAGCAGTTTTATCGTACATTTAAGATGTCAGCCAGTTCTGGTAGATCTGGAATGAAAGAAAACAGGCCGAAAAATCAGGCAGATTTTCTGAAGTGGCCTATTCAAGAAATATTCCGAAGTGTTCTTCACCATTCGGCTACTCCATTGTAAGCCGAATTAATAACGGGTTTATTAAGAAAAAAGTTGTTAGTGACAGAGTGTAAAGCGTTTCAAAAACACTAAAAATTCTGAAGCAGGAATATTACGAGATTCCATTCTTCATTTTTGTTTAGATCGATCTCCACAATACAAAATATATCGCGTCATGTTAATTCGATTATAACAAAGTTGTATATTTTGTTCCAGAGGACGGTGAAGTAATTTGTAAAATGTATGATTGGTCCTCTCCTTTCTTGTCAATGAAGAGCGCTGTGTGCCCATAGCATACAGTTGGTCATATAACACCATCGAAAATGGGGGAAACGATGGACATCTCCTCCTCTTTTCTTTCGCATGTTGTAAGACGGTTAATTGAAATTTTTTTTATTCTAATTTGTTTCTCTCAATTATTTTAAATTAATATTATTGAAAATTTGGAAATAGAGAGTCAGTAAAATCGGAAAAATAGGCGAAATTCTTTTACAACATTGGCTGATAGATAAACAATATCGGTGTAAAGTTTACATACGCATCTTCGAGATGTGGGTCTAAAGGGCGTCCTATCTGATAGCTAACAGTTGTTCTTTACATAACCAGACAAAACAAAAAAAAAGATATAAAATAAACACATAGTTTGAAATACTGTACAAAAAAAAATTCGAATTGATTAATTAAAGCGAATACATTATTAGCAAAAAGATGAAAATAAAGAGATTAAAACTAAAACATGCGTACAGATTATGTAAATAACAATTAACAAATCTATATATATAATCTAGACCGGTTGATAATAATAATAAGCGCAGAGCCCAAACGGTTAAAAGTTAAAAGTTGAAATTTGGTACACAATAAGTCACGAGAATGCACACCAAGAAGGGATTTTTCTAAATTCCCCCGGAAGAGAAGGGACAAAATTAAGTCTTTAACAATGTAAGTGTTAAGTAAGAATGAAAGTGACAATAATGGAAGTGTTAACAATGGAAGTGTTAAGAATGGAAGTGATAGTAATAGAAGTGTTAACAATGGAAGTGACAATAATGGAAGTGTTAAGTAACAATGAAAACGACAATAATGAAAGTGTTAAGAGAAAGCGACGTGCGAGATTTATAGGTGCAGATGCGGTTTTTTGGCGTTTTAGAGGATAATCAAACATATTTTTAGACCCATCTGAAAATTCTGTAATTAGTCTAAAAACAGGGAGATTTAATTCTTGCATTCTGTGAAAATGGGTAAGATTGGCTGTAATGTAATAATCTTAATCTTCGCTATCGTTACTTTTTGCGCAAGCAACGGCTTATCTGCTAATACATATATAGGGGAAGGTGGGACAAGATGAAAACGTTAAGGTTTGAAAAGTCATAACATGACAACCACTTTAATGAGAACAATAATTTTTTTATTCTCGGCAACTACAACATTTGATAATATATAATACAAAATTTAATTTTTGAAAAACGTGTTTAAAAAACAAGAAAATTTAATATTTTAAAATTATATTTAAATGCACAATCTTGCCCCACCCATAGGGTAAGATAGGGATATTATTTTTATATACAAGAAGGACAAATTAAAATAGTTAAACTGTCGTTTTTTTCAATATTGGCACAAGAACAGTGTGCCCATTTATCACAACGGCAACATTTAGCCCACTCTCTGTAGTCCACTCACACTGACTGCAAACACGGGTTAACTTTATTTCAAAACTAAACAATTACAGTCTTAAAGGGTACTTCGAATACCATAATATCTTCATCTAAAAGGTAATGTAAAAGTTCACAATGGTACTTACTTTGAAGAAACTTTGTAGCGGGCGTAAGATTAAATGAATTATTGCTGAATCATAGAAAACTGTCTTACTTCCGAACAAAGAGAGCGATCGGACGTTCTCTCGTCCCGTGATCCCTTTTGAGGTTGACATTTAGTTCCCCAAATAACAGCTAGATGAAAGCGCGTTAACCACGAATAAACAGACATCCCCGTCTTACCCCATGGCTTCATCTTGCACCACTTTCCGCTATATGTATTCGTGAATTGTTATTGTATCTGTATATATAGATAGATAAAATATAAAAAACTTTTTGGGAGAGGGGGAGGAAATGGTGAAATTCACACAATAGTCTATGATCACTGCGGTCCTTTATGTATCTGAATAAGAAAGTTCTGAAAGTTATCCAATGATAAACCTGAGTCATTTTAACATTTCCTTGTCATTTAGTTTTATATAAATTTTCATTTTACTTCATTTGAAACCGTATCGGTGATTATTTTTGTCGTTTTTGAACACTATATACTTCATACACACAACACAAGGCAATCTTTATTGTAAATTTATTCAATTTTTAGTTGAAATAAAAATTGTCAACTAGTCAACTACTATTAGTATATCTACTATTAGTTTGGCTTTTGAGTACGAGAGACACATATAAAAGTAATAAAAACAGGCATATCAACGCTATAAAGTGTTTCGAGTGCTTGTAATAATAACGTATAACAGTAGTCTGCATCACGCAAAAGTAGTAGGAAGTTATAACATGTTATTATATATTTATTCTGTTAATTTTTCAAATTTTATTACTTTTCGTACTTTTTTTATTCGTGGCATCAGTGTAACACCTGCAGTGCCATCTCCGTTTACACTGCAAATCTGGAAGTAATTTTTAGTGTTTCAGAAAGTCATACTGTAAATGGTATTTTTTATGTTTATGACATATACTAGTTTTAAATAGAATAGCAAAGAAGTTGTGATATTTCTTGCAGGTTAACGTAATGTGGGAACCAGGAGCCGTCAAAAGTTAGTTTACGTTAGATTAGGGTAGGGTCCTGCAACCAGGTGTGTTTTGTCGGACACACCGCCGATTTAGTCAAAACCCGATAGTTAAGGCACGAGGGTAAGAGTCACTCTGAAGTCCGGAAATGAGTCTCTCAGGAAGATGAATGCAAAGTCAAATACAAATAACATGAGTTTATTATCAAAAATTAAGTTCATAACATTCTTAAAATCTGATTTAAGAAATCTGCCTATTTCTATCTATAAAACGAGGGGGCTGCCTAACAGGGAGGTATCCGAACTACAACATACCAAGAAAAAGAGAGCCGTCTTCTCTTGTAAGTCCAGTCAGTCTTTTGATCTAGTTCTGTCTTCCCTTTTGCTTGGTCCTTCACTGATGTCTGCAGGTAAATAGTGTTCGCTTCTAGACGAAATTTCCTTGCGATTATGGCAGGATGAGTCCACTCAAGTCTACTGTTGATATCCGCCGTTGATGCCTTCCTAATATAGGATGGTTCGTTGAGAATCTAGAGAGGCCGGTATTTTCTACCGTTGTCTACCGAGGAGCTGTGTCTGTGTCTGGATTTGTGCATCTTTTATACGCTTTTCAGCGCAGGAGTGTTTGGATATGGCTTACTATCTTATTGGTTTCACTTTTGAGCTGAGTCATTACATAAGCAAAACTGTTTTCACTGACAAATCTCATCATTATTCATCGATTGTTTTGGTTACTATTGTGCCTTGAAACGATGTTCGATCTCTGCTATGATCAGGGGGAGGCGTTAAGTGGTGTTTTTCCACTTTCTTTAAGTTTTATTTTCTTACAAATTTATTTAATTATTTAATTGTCCTCTTATCCTTTTCCTCGCATGTTGTGAGATTTACTGCCGTTAATTAATATTCTAAATTGTTTCTATAAATCATTAGGGAAGTCCCTAGTATCGGAAAAATAAGCAAATTTCTCTTACACTTTGATCCATGTATAAACAATCTCGGTATCTTTAAGATGTGGGTCCAAAAGAAAAAGGATATAAAATAAATACAATATTTAAATACAATAAAATCCCTAACTAATTAATTAAAGTGACAACAAAGTGGCTAAACTAAGATTATCTATACTAATATTATAAAGAGGTAATGTTTGTATGTATGTATGTTAGTTTGTATGCAGCAGGTAATCTCCGAAACTACTCATCCGATTTCAAAAATTCTTTCACAAATATTTAGAATAGAACTTCAGGGTGGACATAGGCTATATATTATTCCGTTAAACATGGGGGATGGACAGTTCTTTACGGTAAGCCTTACGGAAAAGGTTACCGTAAAGAACTCTGCTTCTATTTATACCATTTTAGATGCAGTTTTTTCCGTTTTTGATTGCGTTTTAATAGAGTACGTCAACAGAATGTACACTAAGAAGGGATTTTTCGAAAAGTTTTCCCCCACTGGGGAAGTTTTATATATTTATAATAGATACATTTTGAGCCACAACAAGGTGTGGCGGAATCTGCTAGTTACAGATAATGTAAATATGTAAATAACAAGTTCACAAATACATACACATATATATATATAGTAACAACAATTTGATGGGGGGAAATGGTGGTCACAGTAACATTAACAGACTGTCTCTGGTTTATTGTAATTGAGAAATCCGTTACAATAATTTCAGAAAATTATGGAGAAAAAAAACCATGACAGTCAAATTAATTTAAACATTTAAATTAATAACATTTTATATAATCATGTCGAAATATACATTTTTTTTCATGTATTACTTTGACCAGTAATTTATACACTGGCTTAAAGTAAATAAATCGTTTTGGTTGGTACAATACGTAATAAGTAAATATTTAAATTGTTTATAATTAATTAACGTCGATTAGTTTTTTATGGTAAATTTAAAAGAAAACCGGAAAATAAATCAAAATTTCTATGAAAGTAAATATATAAATCGAACGACTAATCGTTCAAAAATGAAAGACAAACACTTGAATTAACATTAGTCTACAGTATACCAGATAAGTAATATGTTTATAATTCATTTATTTCTTACAGATAAATTCTAATTAATGACGTAAAATCGTTTATATAAATTGATTTTCTACTCATTTTTTTTCCGAAAATTTGTTATCGAACAGAGTAAAACGACTTCAAAGTGTGGTAAGTGTACATTTTTGTAATACTGTATTAGTACAACTGTAAAAGAATGAACAAAACTGTCATTAATGCCATTAACACTTATATTAAGTTACTTACGTATTAAAAATCTTTGATATCAGATGATTTTTAGTTTTGTAGATTATTTTGTATATTACGAAATTAATTGCATACGATGTTTGTATACAGCAGAAGTGTATAAGGCGCGAGTAACTCTAAATACTCGTACGATCGTAGAGGCATAATTGATAAGAATGATTTTTTAAACTACAGTCGTCCATTGTGTACTTTGTACAGTGATAACAGGTACTAGACTGATTACAGAGCTTGTCACAAAACGTTAGCGGATCGAGCTGTATACGAAGTTGGAAGCGATGAATTTTAAGTTCAAATCACAAATTATAACGAATTTTGTGATAATCGGCATTAGTGTATTCTCTTAACATAATTTTTACATTAGATTTATCTGAAAAAAAATGAAAAATATAATTATTTATGTGTTCTAATCAATTGTATATGCATTTGATAAGTTATAGTGACCTTTTGAACGTTTAAAGCAACGGTTAATCTGTTGTTTATTCGTTACACCACAATATAGAGTCAGTAATCTTCAATCACCATTTTGCTGCATTCCTACGTATCTACACTATACTTTGACCAGCTTTCACAATATTACTCGTGACAATTTTGTACTTTTCTGGCTGTTAAGAAAAATATGGCGATCTTTTAAAAGATTACTCAAGAGATATTTACATTTTTAAAAATTTATTGACATTCAAACGTCAAGAAATGCAGAAAAACTTAACTATGAAAACTATAATAATGTCTGAAAAACAACCTGTACTTATGAATCAATAGAAAAAGCGAAATTATAACTCGATATTTCGTTTCTGTTTGTTTTATTCAATGCGTTTTCTCTAATACTACAATGATACAATAGCGACAATGTGGCATTTATTTATGACATTTCATTAAAAGAATAGCAACAGTTTATATAATTTGAATAACAAATAGAAAGATTATATCAATATAAGGTTCAGAGAAACGTTGTAAAAGAAGGTGCAGAAAAAATCTGAGGAGCGTTCTGACACAGAATTTCTCCATAAGGTGTTCTATTGTATATTAATATAATTATATATAATATTGTTTGCAAAGTTTTATGATTGAGATGATGTATCGCTGTATATTCTTAAGAAAATATTGGATTATTCATTATAAAATCTTACAATTTACTTTATAATAATGATTTCTAATATATATTTTTCAGTAATAGGATTCGCCTTATATTGCTTTTATTAAGATGTCAGGTTTCTTTGTTTGACAGAAAACTGGAATAGAATATGAAATAAACAATAGAAAACGACAATGAATCTAATTTTAACAATACTTTTATCTGTTTTAATCTGCATCATTTTGTTATGGATAAGGTGAGTGACGTTAGTTTTATTTGTACTCAGTTATTTAAATTAACATTAACTTAATACATATAAATATTTTTGTAAGTGAATTAGCATATATTAAATTATATTATATCGTATTATTTTCCAATAATCAACAATGAAAAACAAATTAAAAATAAGCTTCTAGTATACAATTACTTGTAATTTCTATAGATGGAGAATACAAAGGATGTCATTGTTTCAACGATACGGAATTCCAGGCCCGAAACCAAACTTCATTTTTGGAAATTTAATTGAATTCGTTAAAGAGGTAAATATTTTAACTATTGAAATAAAGTTAAAAAGCAGAATTTCAAATGTAAAACATGATTTTTAACTATTCACGTAGGGAGACACATGCGTAGATAAGTGGCGAAAACAATACGGAAAAATGTTTGGGTAATCAGTTTATTTTCATTTACAAATGATTACATTCAATAAATGGTACTTTACATTTAAAAAATCTATATTTTAAATTTAATACAATTTATAATTAATTTAATATACGTTTAGGTTTTATCTAGGAGCGAAGCCATTTATAATATGCACTGACGTTGAATTTTTCAAACTGATTCAAATAAAGGACAGTTATAATTTTTTGAATAAAGATGTACGTATTGCTGTCATTTTCAGTTATCAAATATCTTAAAAAGCTTAAAATATATTTGTTATTTTTTCGGCAAAAGCCGCTGCTGCCAGGTGGTATATTTCCACACGATGAGTCTAAAAACATGCTTTTAGTGTTAACCGATCAGAAATGGAAAAACCTAAGAAGTATTATCAATACTTGTTTCATTACAGGAAAAATTAAAATGGTATACTGATATTTATTAATTTAAAAAAATATTCCTCTTAAAATAACATAACAATTTATATTTTAGATGAGTGCTCTAATGTCTTCACCAATAAAAGCCTTTCTAGCAAACGTCGAGAAGCAAAGAGATCAACCTCTTGATATCACAAACCTGTGTAAAAAATTGGTGTTCGATATCATTTGTACATCAGCATTTGGCATAACAACAAATGTTCAAAATAATCAAAGTAGTAAATTTATTGAATCGACTCACGCTATATTTTCAGCAGATTCTACTGTTATTTTAGTTGGAATAACAAGTAACAATTGAACAATTCTTTATTATATATATTATTATTAGATAATAAAAATTTTAAGATAGTTGCGTTTAATTTTTTAAAACATTTAGTTATCTTCCCGGAAGTAGAGCCAATATGTACGTTTCTTCGACATAAAATAGAGATTTTAAGGTATATTTTGAATCTACCGTCTTTCACCTTCGTTTATGAAACCTGTCGGAAAATAGTCACTTCCCGGAAGAAATTAGAAGTGAGTCCATTGTCAATAGTTTAACATAAAATGTTTCAATATTTATATAATTTTGTATTTTAGTCTCCTCCACTTGATCTACTGCAGACGATGATAGATGCGGAAGATGAGACTATTGTAGAAATGAAGAAACTTCCAGATAATTTCGTTATTGCAAATGCCATGTTGTTCATGGCAGCTGGGTAATATAACATATAAATAACCTGTATATTATAAAAATTTAATGTGGAATTTTTACACATTTCTAGATACGAAACAACAAGTTTGGCATTAAGAATGTGTATTAAACATCTCGCTAGTAATCCTGAAATACAAGAGAAACTCCGTGAAGAAATAAAGAACTACGTTTCGGAAGACGTAAAATATTATTTTTTTCAATTAGAATGTGCATAAATCTTAGAAAGATAAAATACTAATTTATCTGTTACTGTTTTATGTATAAAAATTTAAATAGGAATTTCAAATTTTTTTAAAATAATAAATTAGTAATCTCAATGATAATATGACGAATTATAATTAGAGAATTTTTAATTAATTTTTAGGTAGATATTCAGTATTCTGACTTGACCAATTTCCAGCTGTTAGATCAAGTTATCTGTGAAACTCTTCGCTTTTTTCCATTTCCCTCAATGTAAAATTCATAATAAATTCAATAAATTAAATATATAATATAATAAATATTTTTTTATATACGTAGATCTGTAAATCGCGTATGTAAAGAAGATTATCGTTATAAAGACATCACCATTCCTAAAGGTAGTATTATATCGATTCCAATAAACTTTTTGCAAAATGATCCAGCTTATTGGAGTGAACCGGATAAGTTTAATCCCTACAGGTAAAATGATATTCATCACTTAAATATCTGAATGATTGCTTTATTGACATGTTTTAAGAGAGTAATTATTAAAAATTTTGCATGGTTTTAGATTTTCTTCTGATGAACGGCAGAAAATTGATTCCATCATTTACCAATCATTCGGAGCAGGGCAAAGAATATGTATAGGAAAAAAGTTAGCTTTAACTATCATGAAGCTAGTACTAGCAAATCTTATACGATCATTTAAATTAGAATACTGTATTGACGATGTAAGTAATACTAACTTTTCTATTGTATATATATTGTGTGAATTACATTACATTTGAGTATAACGTTTTAATTTTTCATTAAATACAGGAAAACCGAAGAGCATACTTTTTATTTTTGAATTATCCTAACAAAGGAAAGGTGAAAGCAACTCTATTAGCTTCGTGATTTGTGACATTGGTTTATGTTTTGAATTTTAAACATAAATAACCATTAACGTATTATACGAATTCGATTGTATTCATGCAAATTTCGCGTTTGTTTCGTTCCGTCTTTACGGTGTAGAAATTGTAATGGCCAGCAGCATATATTGCTTAAAAGGTTATTTGTATTTAGTGATGCTTTAATTTGAATAATAAAAATTAATGTTATGATGAATTGAACGATTCATTGTGTTCAATTGTAAATTATGATTTCAAAATTATTTTTAATTTACAAATTTACAATTTATAATTTACAGAAAAATACACTTAAGAAAAGACAAAAGAACGGTATGGCCTCAACTGAAACGTGCTAACCTGGCATCATGTCCATGGCGTGGCACTCTGCTTCCTATTAAATATATAAAGTTCGATAAGTGATTGCGATATGTTTAGTTTCTAGTCATATGCTTGTAATAATTAAATTTTGTTTTCTGATTACTATTTAGAAATAAATACAGGAGATCGCTACTTACGAACATTTACAATTACGAACGATTAGACGGTTCTGGTGAGAATCCGCAACCAGTGAAAGGTACCTGAAAACGTTTTTATTCTGAAATCAAACTTACACATCGTGGTCTCTATGAAGCATGTTAAATTCTTCAGCAAATTCACACTGACTGTAGGACTGAACTATTAAATTAACTTGAATTCGTTCCACCTTACTGAGTTCCGTGCTTTACTTGTAAAAGGAATAAAGAAATAAGAATGTAATTCGTATACTTATAGACTTATAGGAGACATTTATGTTTATATAGGAATATACAATATAGGTTTTATACAATATAAACAATATTGTACACGGAACGTGAATTTTTAAACATAAAATTAAATGTTACCCAAATACATTTTCAAACTGTTCCAATCATTTCTCAATACATTTGTCTCTGTACAAAAATGAGATAGACTTAAATAAATGCTTATTTTCTATTAATGAAAGTTTATTTTTTATTCAAAAAAATGGAATCTTCGAAAATAATAGTTTATACTACTGTAGTGAACAATATCACTGGACACTGGTCGGGGGTTGTCACTTCACCAATGGTTAGTCAACTGGGGTGTTCTGGATAATTTTCTGCATCTCACGCTTATACAGGTGTGAGTATAGCACGGAAAGTTCTCGTGACAGGCCCCTACTCTTTGGCATATGACCCATGTGTTGTGTTGGCTTATTCCAGGCTATACTTATTAATCTCATCATTTCATCCATTTACAAGAAGTACGAATATATTGACCGATCCACTCATACATACAATAAAGACATCGGCCGTACACGAGGTGTTTAGCCGGCGAAAAAGAGGGTAAGAAAAAGGGGAGGGAGAGGAGATAGACAGTAGAGAAAGGTAGAATCCTTCTGAATGGCGTACATATGGCCACAGTAACCTCTATGATTGATGCTGGCGTGCAGTTTTCATGCTGCAAAGCTGTAGTCTCCCCAAAGGGTCTAAAAATAAACCTGAGTGTAGCGAACACTGATATTTGAGTGCCGCCACGAATAGGGAGGTGTGAAAGTTAGTGCCAAGTGAATGTTTGTAGAAAGACTTCTTATAGGAAAAAAGCATCAATAATTAACTTTATCTTAGTGGAATGCGATGCAATTAGCCATGCAATGACTTTTCTCACATTCATCACGTGGCCGTCTAGATCCATAATGGGCTAAACTAAGAAGAGCAAGATCGTCATCCTTTACTATTTAGGTAGTTTATTATATTTTTTTTTCTTAATCGTCAAGTAAATTAAATCAATAATAACGACAAGTAACGTGTTTTTCATTGTGTTTCTGTGTTTAATGTTTAGTACCCATAAGTTAATAAATATAAATAAAATTATATCTGTCTGTCACGGTATATGAATAAATATTTATTTATTTCGTTAAAATGTTTTTAAGTGACATTCCGACACAACTTGGAGATTAACATCTATATCTATATCTATATATATATATATATAAATGGACGTGTGAGTCCCTATATTTCACTTTTCCGCCAAAACTACACATCGCACGTGAATGGTGTTTGTATGTGTTGGTAGCCCCAAGTCTCCATTCGTGCATAGTGGTGATTGCGTCTCGATAGCTATAAGGGTGCGTGAGATATGAGGCTGAAAGTGGTTGAAAGGGACTTTCTATTTCGAATGTTTTGTTCGAATTCAATTCGAACATAAAATTCGAATATTGGTTCGATTATAGAACGATTGTAAACGTTCCAGAAACGTTGAAAATAGTTCGTTTGACAGGACGTAAAAATTCTCTAATTAGTCTGGAAATGGGGGACTTAATTCTTTCGTTATGTGAAAACGAGTAAGATTGGCTATAATGTAATTATCTTAATATTCACTATCGTTACTTTTTGCCCACAAATAAAAACACAGCGAATCGGGTCCTTGCAGCTAGTTATAAACTAAAATCATTTAAATACAGAACGAAAATGCGTCTACATATTATGTGTTAGTCATTGGAAAACACGTATTAATATTACGTAAGTACTGTTTAGGAAATATTTATATTTTATATAGAATAAATAAATAAAACTAACCTTTATGTACAGTAAAATTATTCAGCCATTTCCACGTAATTATTGTAGTTTAACAGAAGCACCTTCGTCGCGGGTTCGAACCTCACTAACAAAATAGACAGGTGGAGTTTTCATCGTTTATATTATATATCTAGCACCTAAATAGGGGTAGTTTCCCATAAAAGTCCATCAGTTCAGTTGTTATTCGGTTTATACAGGTTATTTGTCGTTTCATTACTACACAGTTAAACTGCCGTCTTATATAAACACTTTACATATAATGTTTAATCAGAATGACATTTTAATCTGTTAAGCACACGCGCACTTTCACTCGTTTGATATGACACGGTTAATTCAATTTTGGGCCACCCTATATACGTATATCTGCTACATATTAAACTCGACTATTTAGAAAATAGCTACATTAATAAATAAAAAGATGACTGCATTGTTTTCTACTAAAGAATAAGTAACAAAGAAATAAATTTTGGTACAAAACAATAAATATATTTATTTATTTATTTATTAATAATTACTGTATTTAAAACAATTAAATAGCTATTCTTATCCTCTGACCTGAAAATAGAAGACACGATGTCCTCAAAACACGTCCAATTATTAATTTTAGAATATATTTATTTATTCATTTTATACAGTTTGTTTCACCGAAGTCATCTGAAGTTAGGATTCGATTAACGGCAGCATATAACAAGCAGAGAAGAACAAGTGTACAGAAATAAATGACTCTTCCTCACTATTGTATAAAATGATGTATTTTTATTTAGAGGTTATTTTCTAAACATTTACAAAACAGACGTCGGTTAAAGAATGACCATTGTCTACAGGTGATCGTAGTTAGCAGGTGGCCGTGTGTATTATTGAACAGGTACTTAAACAGGTGTATTTAAAGAAATTATTTCATATAAAAAAGTGCAAAAATTAGGTCATTCAGTTCTTTCAAATTTACGTATTATAGAAATAATTGTCCGATAAAATAGAAATTTGTAAGCTTATTATTATTCCTTTCACGAGTAAAAGTAATAATAAAATTTTATAATGTTTTCTCATTATAGCACGTGTAACAACTAAACCTTGAAAGCAACACGTATATACTTAATGTAGATATTTATATACAGAATAATTAGCATAAATTTGAAAATACGGTCAAATCTGTGTACAACGGACAGTGACGAAAATATAAAATACGGTCGTTTTATGCAAGAAATCGTTTTTTTAAAGTTTCCTTTTTAATCATAAATTTTTTTAAAATGGCCGTTGTCTGAGTTTCAGCTGTATTTTATTAAATTTTTATACTTTCTACCTTACATTTAAACAAAATAATACCATTGTATTAGTCAATAAATTTCGAGTGTATATTCACGTTATCCAAATACACGTTATCTTTATCATCGAAATGTTTAAATGTGCCTGTTGAGAAAGTAGAAGAATATTGAGAAAGAAATCTTTCTTGTTATTTCCTCTTAGCCTCGTTTCTTAATAACCTCCTTAATATATATCAATATAATTGTTAAATATAGATTTGTAAGCTAAATCTGGACATCAATGAACACAGAAGTGAATTATTTAGGTGATATTGGAATTTTTAGTCAGAATAGCCCACATTATGAAATATGTAATGTTTCATTAAACAGATATCACTAGGGATATTCCGATACTCTATCTGGTTAACCATCTCGCTGGAAAAGGAAACCCTTCCCAACACATTCTGGCATCATATCCTTTCAGAATAAAATCCAGCAGATTGTGCTTCACGTGGAATTCTTCCTAATCAATTACTTTGTGGTTTCTTTATGGTGGACTGGACCAGGTGGTTTCAAGATCCAATAAACAAATGGTAAAATTTTCAGATGAAGATGAAGTTGCAAAGAGAAAAAGGAAAAGAACTCATGCTATTTATGACAAGATTAATGATAAATTTTTACACAGATATTCATTTTTTTCTACCCTTCAATGTGTTACTAAATACTACTATCTTAGATTCATCAATATTACAATGAATGGTATGAACCAATCTGCTTCGTTTTCCACAGTTAAACGCCAATAATCAACAAAGGCTTTAACTTAGAATTGGTGAATGACTAAATAGCCTTTGTTGGTTATTGGAAATAGATCTTTTAAGGGCTGCAATAACTGCAATTAAAGAGATGTTCTAGAATTTAGAATCTATTTAAATTTTTGAGGATTTTCAACCTGTCTGCTATTTAATTAATGTTGTTTAGTTTAAAAAGTACATAAATAAATAATAATATAATACATACCAAACATTAAAAGCTATACTTTTATTGTTGCATTTAATTCAGTTATTGCTTACATTTATATATTTAATGAAATTCTTTTTATTTGTATGTTTGTTCACTTGTTATAATTATTGAAAATTTGAGTAAATTAAGAATTTAATGGGTGTGCTTTAATGATAATTCCATTCTTAGGATAGTTCATGAAGAGCGTATGCAATATTTCCATCTTCTGTAAAAATGCACACTGATATAACAATACGGTAAAAAAAAATTTATTGTTACAGAATACTGCAACTGAATTTTCGGTATAATTACGATTTTGTATGAAGAATCGTTTTTACCTGAATTTATTATTTTCATTTTAACTTGGATACATAAAATCACTGTAAACTGGTACACTGGTCTCAGGTTTATGCTTGATTAACATGCTATTTGCGTAATGTTTTTCGAGTTTAATTCTAGTGTTTAACAACTAAAATAAAAGCCACATTTTTATAGAAAAGCAATATGATTCCTTATCTCATCAACCCAATTCAATATTCCCTCTAAACAACCCACAAATTATCTAACGGGTGAAAACCAGCGGTAGTAATCACACGGGTTCATACGTGACTAACACGTAAACAACGTTTCCATAGAAAGTTCGCCTGCAGGCACCTCTCCTGGCAGATTGCTCCACCAAAGAGCCTACTAAATTATAATAAATGTGAGATATTCGAACAATTTCAGTTGCCATATTCTGTGTCAGTTTAACAAGGAAATGAACTATAGCTTACGTCGTCTCCACAGAATTCTAATTTAAACGATCGCAGGAGATTCGACAATGTTAATATTAATATAGTTTTTGCTAATCTCTGTCCGATACATATTCTGTGCCCCGCTCCGAATGGTTGGTAAACGATGGAGTCAATTGGCTTTTGTTTTTCGGAAGAAAATCTGAAAGAGTCTTTATAAGAACTAATTAATAAATCAATATTAAATGTAATTAATACTGTACCTGTAGGGATTGAACTTATCAGGTTCACTCCAGTAAGCTGGATCTTTTTGCAAAACTTGTACTGGTACTGCTAGAATAGAACCTTTAGGAATGATGAAATCTTTACAATGGTAATCGTCGGCACATACTCTGTTCGATACTCTATGTATAATGAAGCTTTTAATGATAATTATTTTAATTAAATGAGAAAAATAAGAGTACTTACAAAAAAGATAATGGCCATAGACGAAGAGTTTCTGAAATAACTTGATTTAACAACTGAAATTTGCATAAGTCCGAATATTGGATTTCCACCTAGAATAATTTAGATGAATTATTTTTAAGGTTTTATTCAATAAATTTATACAATACGCTATTTTACTTAGATAATTTAATGTTCCTAGATAGTATTTAGGCGAGAAAACCTTATTTTAGAACCGTCAACCCCTCTCCAGGAATGTAGAGTCGTATTGTAAATAATGGCCATAATTTACCCGCTCTAAATCTGGCGCGATTATCAAGAGAGATGTCACAATTTAAATTAATAATAACAATTTACATCGTCACAAACGTTCATTTTAATTTCTTCACGGATTTTCTCTTGTATATGTGGATTACGAGCTAAATGATAAATACTCCACTCCAACGTGGTACTTGTCGTGTCGTATCTGCAAAGTGTGTTAAAACAATCCTTTATGAAAACCCAACGAGTTTAAAACCCATTCAACAGTTTATTAATGTAATTACCCAACTGCCATAAACATCATCGCATTTCCAATTACTAAATTATCTGAAAGTTTCTTCACTTCTCCACCATTTTCATCTTCAGCATCTATGATCGCCTGCAGCAGATCATGCGGATGTTGCTGAAATACAAAATATTATATATATATTCTTTATATTTCAATTTAAATAATCACGTGTATGTAACCTTACGTCAGACTTTTTCCTGGAGATGGCCATTTTTTTACAGGTTTCATAAATCACCGTAAAACACGGAAGATTCAACACGTATTTTAATGTATCTATTTTGTAGCGAATAAAGCTACAGACAGGCTCCACTTCCGGAAAGCAAACTAAATGAGGTATATGACTACAAATTAGTAAACGTATAATAACATAAATAATGAAAAATAATCAAAAAAATTACTTGTTATTCCAGCTAAAATGTCAGTAGAATCGACTAAAAATGCAGCGTGAGCTGACTCGACGAATTTACTACTTTGATTATTTTGAACATTTGTAGTTATACCAAATGCTGTTGTGCAAATTATATCAAACACCAGCTTTTTACAAAGGTTGACGACATTAAATGGTGCTTCCTGCTTGTCTAATTTACTTAGAAAGATTTTTATTGGTCGACACATTAATGCACTCATCTGAAATGCAAATAGTAACGCTGAGTAAGGACGTAGATTACGTTATAGTTTATGTTAGATTTGTATACCAATTTAATTTTTCCTGTAGTAAAACAAGTAGTAAGTGTACTTCTTAAGTTTCTCCATTTCTGATCAGTGAGTAGGGGTAACATTTTCCTAGAAACATCGTGAGGGAATCCAGCATCCGGTAACACCCACTTACAAGTAGAAAAAGAAAAAGTTATCCTTCGAATCTGATGAAAAATGACGCAAAATACGTACATCTTTATTGTAAAAATTGTACTTGTCTTTTATCTGACAGCACTTTAAAACTTCAACATCAGCGCATACCAAGTAAGGTTTTGCACCTAAAAAAAATCTAAACATGCGATAAAGAAGTTATATTTTAAAACAAGTTTTAAATGTAAAACGTATTTTATTTAATAATTTTACACAGGGTATCATAAAAGTATGAAGTTACAGTAGTTATTTTCATAGGTGTTTATTCTTATACAAGTAAAGCAAGGTACTGAGTAAGATGGAACAAATTCAATAGTTTTTTTCATGCTGTTGCATCCAAACCTTACACCAATTACACACAGAAGTCTGGATGAAGCATGTTAAATTTATTAGCAACTTCACACTGACTGTCTGTCGTCACTAACAAAATAACTTGAATAAGTTGCATGCATTACTTCTAAAATAATAAAGAAACACGAATGTCACTCCTATGGTTCTAGACTTGTAAGACACCCTGTATAAATAATATCGTGCACGGAATGTAAATTTTCAAACAAAAAATCAAATATTACCCAAATATTTTTCCATACTGTTGCAACCATTTTTCAATACATTTGTCTCTCTACAAAGATGGGATAAATTTAATAGTCTACGTAAGTAAAACTTTTGTAAAAATTTTTATTTAAGTCCACTTACCCCTTTGTTAAATTCTTTTAAATTTCCGTAGAAAAAATTCGGCTCAGGACCCGGAATTCCGTAACGTTGAAACAATGTCATCTTTCGTTTCCTCCTTCTGAAAAATTATACAAGAGCTTTTTCAGCTGAGTTAAGTAAACAACTGAACAGTGGTTCTTTGCTGCGAAGTTTGCGCTTCGTCTACGTGGAGTTTTCGGGTATTTTTCATATTTATAACATTTAAATAGGGGCCAGTTTCCCTTAGACAGTTATTCTCTCGGCAAATTCCCATTGCTGTATACAAAGAAACATTGAAGGAAAAGTTTCTTCTGGAGTTATTATGCAAGTAAAGAATAGAAAAACAAGAAATAATTTACGTTTTTGTTCTTTGTATAATAGTCTCTTAAATCCAATATTTATACTATTGCTGAACACAAAAATAACACATAACACGGATGCTAATTAATATTTTTAGACGGTATCTTGAATAACAGAAAGTTCATAGATTAAATTTTATAAATAAAAAAAAACATTGGATATAACTGGTTGGATTAAACATAGTAATTTACAAAAGTTATTAAATTATTTCACAATGTATAACGAGTTATTTTTATTTAAAGGCGAATAAATAGATAGTAAAAACAAATCTATTTAAAAACCGGAGCTACAGTTATTTGAACATCGAACTTCTTCGGTGTCAAACATCAGATAATCTTTCAAAAATTGTTATTGCCACAAATATTATAAAAAAAAGCATTGTTCTCTTTGCGATATTTAATAAATAAGTAACAAATATAATTTAAATAATTATTATATTGAACTATTTCCCTGTTCTACTTTGTCTTACTGTTAAAATATTATTTTAAGTTCTCGTGTTTTAATTTACTCGGATATTAGAACAAATTATAAAAATTATTATTACAAATTAGTACAACTTAATTTTATAATAAATTTAATAATTAAACGGAATATGTTAAACTTATTGTTAAAATAAAAATTAATTTAATTAAGATTTATGTTCAGAAAATTAATTTAATTAAAATTTGTTATCAGTATGTCTCATTTTAGTAATTAGAAAATTAATTTTGTAATCAGTATGGCCCAAACCACTACTACTGATATAATATAATATAATACATGCTAATTCACTTACAAAAATATTCATATGTATTAAGTTAATAATAATTTAAATAACTGAGTACAATTGAAACGAACGTCACTCACCTTACCCATAACAAAATGATGCAGATTAAAACAGATAAAAGTATTGTTAAAATTAGATTCATCGTCGTCCTCTATTGTTTATTTTATATTCTATTCCATGTTTCTGTCAAACAAAGAAACCTGACACGTTAATAAAAGCAATGTTATAAATGCGACTCCTATTACTGAAAAAATATATATTAAAAATCATTATTATAAAGTAAATTGTAAGACTTTATAATAAATAATCTAATATTTTCGTAAGAATATACAACGATACATCATCTGAATCATAAATCTTTGCAAACAATAATATATAATTATATTAATATACAATAGAACACCTTATGGCAAAATTGTGTGTTGCAACACTCCTCAGTTTTTTTTTTGCACTTTCTTTTACAATGTTTGTATGAAGCTTATATTAATAGAATCTTTCTATTTTTATTCTAATTATATAAACTGTTGCTATTCTTTTTATCAAATGTCATAAATAAATGCCACATTGTCGCTATTGTATCATTGTAGTATTAGAAAAAATGCATTGAACAAAACAAATAGAGACAAAATATTGAGTTATAATTTTGCTTTTTGCATTAATTAATAAATACAGGTTGTTTCTCAGACATTATCATAGTTTTCATAGTTAAGTTTTTCTGCACTTCTAGACGTTTGAATGTCAATAAATTTAAATATGTAAATATCTCTTGGGTTATCTTTTGAACAATCGCCATATTTATCCTAACAGTCGGAAAAGTACAAAATTGTCACGAGTAATATTGTGAAAGCTGATCAAAGTATAGTGTAGATACGTAGGAATGCAGCAAAATGGTGATTGAAGACTACTGACTCTATATTGTGGTGTAACGAATAAACAACAGATTAACCGATGCTTTAAACGTTCAAAAGGTCACTATAAGTTATCGAATGCATATATAATTAATTAGGATACATAAATAATTATATTTTTCATTTACTTTCAGATAAATCTAATGTAAAAATTAAGTTAAGAGAATATACTGATTCCTATTATTACAAAATGGAATATCATTTATTATTTGAACTTAGAATTCATCGCTGCCAACTTCGTATACAGCTTGATTTGCTAACGTTTTGTGACATGTTCTATAATCTGTCTAAAACCTGTTATCACTGTAGAAAGTAACACTAGAGACGACTGTAGTTTCAAACATTACCGTTGTCAACTATGCCTCTACGATCGTTTGATATTCGCGTGTTATACACTTCTGCTGTATAAAAACATTAAATGTACTTTTCGAAACAATGGAAATAATTTCGTAATATAGAAAATAATCTAGAAAACTAAAAATCATCTGATATGAAAGATTTTTAATACGTAAGTAACTTAATATAAGTGTTAATGGCATTAATGACAGTTTTGTTCATTCTTTTACAGTTGTACTAATACAGTATTACAAAAATGTACACTTACCACACTTTGAAGTCGTTTTACTCTGTTCAATAACAAATTTTCGAGAAAAATTGTATAGAAAATCAATTTATATAAACTTTTTTACGTTACTAATTAGAATTTATCTGTTAGAGAGTAAGTTATAAACATATTACTTATCTGGTATACGATAGATTAATGCAAATTAAAATGTTTGTCCTTCACTTTTGAACGACAGTCGTTCGATTTACATATTTACTTTCGTATAAATTTTCATTTATTTTCTGGTTTTGTATTTATTTTCTGGTAAGAAACTAATTACCGTTAATTAATTATAAACAATTTAAATATTTACTTATTATGCACTGTGCCTAACTAAACGATTCACTTACTTCATGTTAGTGTATAAATTACTGGTCAAAGTAATACATAAAAGAAACCAGTATATTTCGACATGATTATATAATATGTTATTAATTTAAATGTTTATAATAATTTGACTGTCATGGTTTTTTTTTCCTCCATAATTTTCTGAAATTCTTGTAAAGAATTTCTCAAGTACAATAAACCAGAGACCCCCCCTGTTAATGTTATGTCAACCTGAAAGAAATATCACAACATTCTTTGCTATTCTATTAAAAACTAGTATATGTCATAAACATAAAACAATACCATTTACAGTATGACTTCGTAAAAAGAGTACAAAAAGCAATAAATTTAAAAAAAAAATTAATAAAATAAAAATATGATGCCTTAGTTTTATAATATGTTATAACTTCCGACTAATTTGCGTGATGCAGACTATTGTTATACGTTAATATTAGAAGCATTCGAAACACTTTATTGCATACGCTCTTCATGAAGTATCCGAAGAACGGATGATTTCCTTGCTTCTCTACTTGCTTCGCTATTTAGAAAGATTTTTATTGAGCAAGACATTAATGCACGCATCTGAAAGATAGAAATGTCGTGAAAAGAACTAACTTTACGCAATAGTTTATGTAAGAAATCTATACCACATTGCATACCTAGAAACTCCATCTTTCAAACTTTCAATGCTAAGTCTCTAAGAGACCTTTTTGCCGTTAATAAGCCATGAAGATTTTGTTTTTACGTCTTCTATGCTCTAATTGATCATTTCTATCATGACTGACTTGATATCAATCAATGAGCGTTCCTTCAGAACCCTTACTCGGTTTCACCCCTTTGATTTGTCGCGCTAATTAAACTTCCTCCAATATTGTAATTGTAGAGATCCTTAGCCCTTTTAACCTTATTCTGGTTTGAGTGCTACTTGGATGAGCGTCGTTCTAACATTTTTCAAGATCTTTAGTAGCAGACGTCGACATTGCACCTCTTTTGTCATCCTCCTTTTCAAAAGAAAATACATCTCGCTGAGTTTCTTGGTATTGTTCATTTAAGAATTCTTCGAGTTCTTCTGTCGTCAGATCAGTTTCAGGTTCCATTATGAGCTCTAAAATGCTCTTTATTTTTCACATGTGATGTTCTTTACTCCATTAGCAGTCTGGTTGTTTAAAGAACAACTGTTAGCTATCAGACAAGACGCTCTTTGTACCCACATTTTGAAGATGCGTATGTAAACGTGACACGGAGATTGTTTATCTATCAGCCAATGTTGTAAACGAATTTCGCCTATTTTTTGATTTTACGGACTGTCTTTTTCCAAATTTTCAGTTATCTATTTAAAATAATTTAGAGAAACAAATTAGGATAAACATTTTATCAATTATATGTTATAAATTTCACAACGTACGAAGAAATAAAACTTTTTTTTCCCACTAACCAGTCTCTATGTTGATCTCTAGACCGATAGAAAACGGCGATTGAACACCGCTACAAGTCAACGATTTTTACGATGTTTGGACTTATTTTATAGGCTTAGTGAAAACAGTCAAGTGTTAATGAGGAGAAAGTGTCAATTGAATAAAATTATGTGGTAAGGAAAGTCGTAACATCTAGGGAAAGTATCAACAATCCGACTTAATTGCCCAGTTCGCGACGTCCCTTATCAGCTGAACGTGGACACAGCTCGAACAACAAACTAGTAAATTTAGCATCACTTGATAATTTTGATCTTGGTAATTGTGTGGTGGTAAATCTTGAGTTCCAAAAGAGTTAAAGGGATGAATTTTTTGGGAACTTTTTTGAAGTTAAACTGGGTACCTCACGAAGTAAAAGATTTTGTAAGGTATTTACTGAAACCTTTCTAAACATTTCTTAATTCGATATTGCTAAGTTTTTCTAAAAGACCGAAGAATCGACAAAGGAAATTGGGAGACACGTAAGAAAATGACTTTTATAATACGCTTCTTTTCTAGTTTTGATATATACAGTAGATCCTCCTATAACGCTTAGATACGTTCCACGTTATTCAAATTTTACGTTGTAGGAATCCTTAAATACATGAGCCAATCGCAGCCCGACACGTGTGAAGTTTACGGACTAAGGCTGTTTGAAAGGTTTTCTTCTATAAAATTAACTGATTCTAGACTAATTCCACTCAACATTTCCAAAACACGTATAATTTTTTGGGAATAATCCGTATAAACTATGCTATAAACAAAAAGTTGCAGGATTACTTACCGAGTGTGCACCGTTCGACTACGTCGTTGGTCAAGCATGTTTTCGTCGCGGAACAGCGCACGAAACAGCGGCCGCGATTTCTGATAACGAATTTTTCGCAGAAAAATAACTTGACCTTTGGAGACATCATTAATATAAATAATTTTTATGGCCGTTGAATAAGAAATGTTTCTTTCACAAGAAATGTATAAAATTAGTGCTGTATTAGACTTACGGTACCTAATTTACATACTGTGCAGACGATAATAAACTCAACTTACTAGCCTAAACTCTCCGTAACGTAGCGCTAGACGGCGGAAATTATATATATAATTATAATAAAGTTACAATAAATTGAGTTAATATATAATTATATGTACAGTACCTAATTTATATATAATTTATATATAATGCTGTTCAGACGATAGCAAACTCAATTTAGCCGCCTAAACTCTCCGTAGCGTGGCGCTGCGTGGCGGAAAGTAGTTCGGCTGCTCGTCCACTATTGGTCCAGATTCGACCAATCATGTCGCGACAGGAGTCGGCAACGACGTTTTACGAGTCACTTTATACGAATACTGCTAAAAATTTTCTGCTATGTTATAGGAATTTCCGTTATAGGAACCCACATTATAGGGGGGACGACTGTACTTGTGAACACTATGTTGGCATCTTTATTCCTAAACTTTTTACACCGTCACTAAACACAAATCAGTCATAAATATTTGTAATAAAAGCTGATGAAAGACATAATTTTTCCAGAATGTATGCATTTCAGACCTTAAGTGATTTTCTACGGTTGATCTTGTGTCCAGTGACGGTGTAATAAGTCTAGGAATAAAGAGATTAACATAGTGTTCACAAGTATGTATAAAAGACTCTGAACGTTGAACATTAGCCCTTATAAATAAATATATCGTTAAACAATACAAATGATTACGATAAATAGATTTAATTAACTTACTATAACGTTGTGTAATACAATATAATCTAGGAGAATCAGTGATTATAAACAACAATAGTAACACTCACCTTATCAATAACGAAATAATACACACGAAAACAGACAAAAGTATGGCTGTACTTAGATACATTTGTGTTAACTGTAATACCAATTCGATATTTTTGTCAAAATTCTTATGAAGAAGACACAAGTCTGAAAGTTTACGAAAAACTATAGATTAATTTTACACTTATAATTTAAAAAAAAAAAAAAATTGTAAAAATAATCTGTTGCTATTCTATTATTATCAATACAGAATATTTTTGTTTAGCTCTTCCTGTCTAATGGTTAATAAGAGGGCCTTTTCTTCAACCTATATTTATTCCAAATCCTTAATTAATAATATGGACGTTAGTGTGGTGTATAGGGTGCACCCTGTTTGAAGCTTAATAACTCCTGTGCTTTATGTCGAAAATTTCTGAAATTTTTCAAGGAGGATTGATTATTCGGTGGCTTGTTGCGATTAAATTTTGGTAGTTAAAGGTGGAGATGGGAGGGAGATAAAATAGGTTGTGTATATCTCCAGTAGGTTCGAATTTAATGACCATTTTACTCTATGTTATCATCTACAATTATTATAAAACCTATCAATACCTTAAAATTTATCTTCTTACCATTTTATAATAATTAAAAATATAAAATTTTTTAATATAAAATACGATAACAGATGGCGCCACCAATACTTTAAAAGTTGCCGGGAAAGTTGTGCAACTCGTTGACGGTTTATTATACTTCATTTAATAAATCTTGTGTAATTAGTAAATAATCACGTAGTTGAACATTATCGACAGATGAACACATATTTTAATACGATGAAATATATAGTCATTTGTCAACAATTATTGATTTTTGTACAGTCGACCCCCCTATAATTACGGTCCCTATAATTACGATTCCTATAAAACTACGAAAAAATATACGTATTTTGGAAATGTTGAGTTGGATTAGTGTAGAATCGATGAATTTTATGGAAGAAAACCTTTCAATCAGCCGTAGTCCGTAAACTTGACACGTGTCGGGCTGTGATTGGAACGACTTGTAAGAAATCGGATTCCTAATAAATTGGAACGCATCTATGATCTTATAGGGGGGGTCGACTGTATTGTTTAAGAGATAAGAGTTAAAATTATATTCGCAAAAATTGTCGATAATGTTGAGGACCATCAGGAAACTCGCTTGAAATTGCTCTATTCTTGGATAACTCAAGGGAGCACTGACGATTCTTCTAGTTTTATCATCAACTGCTTCTGTTTCTCTATTCTTATGAAAGAAAATTCGGTTCAGAATACCCCATACAAACACATAGAATACTTGAGTTTAATTGCTAAACAATGGCGTTATTTTAAAACTGTACACTATTAAAGTTACGTAAGAAGTTTTAATTAATATGAACATGTACAGTAGTAAACATATATTACATATTTTGTTGATACAGAATAGAAAAATTATGGTAATGGGCATAATAAAAACGCCCTGTCATAGTCTACAGAAGTGAAAGAGTAAAAAAACAACTCTACTTACTCGACCCTTCTACTTTTCACTTTCACACGTTTCCATGTAAAAACAATTGAAATCCTCTAAGTAATTCTAGGATATAATAAACAAGGAAAAATTGATTTACAATATACTTGTGTATATACTGTATAAATTACACATTATTATACATACCTCGTATTAATTTAAATCCCAGGAAACAATTATAACTAAAGCTAACAAATTCAGGAGACACTAAATCAAGATAACGTTACAATAAATATATACTTTAATTGGAAATTGTCCTTATATAAGTAATTAAGGACAAGAAGCAGGTATTACAGTGTCAGTAGGTCTCGACCTTATTTATTGATTTATTTTTAAATTTCACAAGTTATTATATATAATTGAAAATATGTCTGTCTTTTACGCTGTATATCTATAAGTTTATTTATTAATTTAACATAACTTGGAGATTACTGTTTAAAGCTAAGATCGTTTCAATACACAATGAAAGTGTTTTTATAACATATTATCTGTTATTCGTTACAAAACATGTATTAATATTACGTAAGGAAAGGTATTATATAAAAATCCAATAGATAAAACTAACCTTTCGTATGTAAAGTTAAAGTATTTAGTCATTCCCACGCTCACTGGTTGTGGGTTCGAACCTCACCTAAGTGGGAATCTCCACGTATTATCACTTATCTAACACCTGAATAGGGGTTAGTTTCGCTTAAAAGTCCATAAATCCATTTGTTATTGTTTAATTAACCATTCGATTAATCAAAATACATGCTAATTTCCTGTCTTATTCGAATACTTTACTTAAAAATTACACAAAATATAATCAACACGACATCTTTACCTGTTCAATGCACGCTTACTCTTACAAATTACCTACTCGCTTGACAAGACACGGTTAATTGAATTTTGGACCCACGTGGAAAGACATTAAATGACGTCAATAAACGAATAGATAACCGCATTGTTTTCTAGTGAATAATAAATAAATAAATATACTTATAACATTTTATAACGTAAATTTAGTATAAAAAACAATAAAAATATTTATTTATTTATTAAAATTTACTGTATTTATCGTAATTAAATGACTATTCTTATCGTCTGACCTAAAAATAGAAGACAAGGTGACCCGAAAACACGTTAAAATGTTTATTTTATAATACTTTTATTTATTAATTTATTTATATACACATTAAAATATTATAATAATTTAATATAAAACACTATATAAGAACATCCCGCTTTAATGTTGATCATTTTATAAACCCCAGAATAATATTAGATGGGGTATTTCCAGGAACATAACTAAAGTTTATGTGATCGAACACGTGTTAAATTAGTATTCGATTTACGACGGACTCGCTTAACGACGGAGTAAAACAAACAAGAAGTGAGGGAAAAAAGTGTACTTTCCTTCACTTATTCGAAGTAAACCGTTATTCAGAGGTTATTCTGTACGCTGTTAGAAAAATTAGGTCATTTAATTTTGTTATAATGAGAATAATTGTCGGAAACAATAGAATTTGTAACCTTATTATTATTACTTTCACGTGTAAATAAATGATAAAAATTCTATAATTTTCTGATATTGAAACACGTGTAACAACTAAACCTTGGAAGTAATGCGTGTAGATTTTTAATTTAGATTCTATTTACAGAATAATTAACATAAATTTTACGATCAAACCTGTATACAACGGACAGTGACGAAAACGTAAGATATGGCTGTTTTAGGCAGGAAATTGTGGTTTAAAAGTGACTTTGTAATCATTTTTAAAAAAGTACTTTAAATCTGGCCTTCATTTACAGGTTTCCAATGTTTGGAATTCTATAATTTATTAAAAGTACCTTAAATGTAGCCGCCGCCATATACAGGTTTCCACTGTGAGGTTCTGCTTTATTATATTATGTTAGACGTATTGTATATATGGCCGCCATATACAGGTTTCCACTGTTAGAGCTTCTACCGTATTGTATTAAACGTACCTTAAGTGTGGCCGCCATATACAGGTTTCCACTGTTAGAGCTTCTACCGTATTGTATTAAACGTACCTTAAGACGTATTGTACATATGGCCGCCATATACAGGCTTCCACTGTCAGAGCATCTACCGTATTGTATTAAACGTACCTTAAGTGTGGCCGCCATATACAGGTTTCCACTGTTAGAGCTTCTACCGTATTGTATTAAACGTACCTTAAATGTGGCCGCCATATACAGGTTTCCACTGTGAGGTTCTGCTTTATAATGTTAGACGTATTGAACATATGGATTCCATATACAGGTTTACACTGTTAGATCTTCTATTGTATTGTGTTAAACGTACCTTAAATGTGGCCATCATATACAGGTTTACACTGTGAGGTTCTGCTTTATTATTTTAGACGTATTGTACATATGGCCGCCATATACAGGTTTCCACTGTCAGAGCATCTACTGTATTGTTAAACGTACATTAAAGATGGCCACCATATACAGGTTTTCACTGTTTGAGGCTCTACTTTGTTAGACGTATTGTACATATGGACGCCTTATACAGGTTTCCACTGTTAGAGCTTCTACCGTATTATGTTAAACGTACCTTAAATGTGGTCGCCATATACAGGTTTCCATTGTTTGAGGCTCTACTTTTATGTCAGACGTATTTTAGATATGTTCGCCATATACAGGTCGCCGTTGTTACCGGTTCAGCTATATTTTAGTAAATTTTAAAATTTTCTACTCTACATCAAAAACACTGACATTTTTATATTTATTTCATTTATAAATAAACGAAACAAATATTTCTAAACAATAAAATAACCTAAATTTTATATAAATAAATATATTATTATCTTATTAGTCGTATTTTTGTACTGTGATAATAAAATTGGACCTTATACAAATAAAAATTTATGTGGAAACTTGTATTTTCTATGAGAAACAATAGAAGAATTTCACAGGAAGTAACTAATTTGAAGACGTCACGAGTTATTTTCGAAAATCTCCTGTTATTTCATAAGTTATTTATTATCAAATACTTCAATTCTTCTAAATGTTAATAAATAATTACGAATTTCGAAATTGTTTCCAGAAAATTGCTCTTTCGACGACTATAAATAAGTAAAATGGCTTCAAAGTTGTACAGTTTTCACCTGTAAGTTGCAAGCATCTTCACTTCTATCATGAAGAATATCGTCTACTTTGTTTTATTTACTCTTGGTAAGTGTAAAAAAACTTTATAAATATTTACAATACACCTAGTTTTTTTCTATATTAGTAGGAGAAATATATATATGGGGTGCTTTATTCAGAAAACCAGTATTTATTTAGGTATTAAGCACGTGAAGAAAATAAGAGACTGCACTTCTTAGATCTGTCTATTCAGCTAATATTAGGGGATTTTAGAAATGATAGTTGTTTATAATAAATACTATAAGCAGAAATTATTGTAGATCATTATTTATAATATAAGTTTTTCTCCCTTATACTAGTGTCACTGTCAAAACAGGATTCGTGTCACTGGAGAGAATTAGAAGCGTGTGCAATTCGAAGCTCATTAATTTTTCAGAGTAATCCAATACCACAAAATGAAGCAGAAATTGATAGTCGATGCGAGTAAGTACTGTATTTAACGTTTATAAACAATAATTAAAGAAATATTAAATACATTTGAATATTTCAGATACCTTAAAGACACTACTGCATGTGTANTGGTATACATTAAAACCTTTCAAACACTATAATATAAATATTCTTTGCTGAAAAAATAAATTAATTTAGTGTGCAGTATAAACAAGTGTAATGTCTTTATCTATAACTGACGTAAATTTGGTTTATTTTAGTATCGAAATTACACGAAAATTCATAAAAAACAGTAATTAATGAATTCGGTAATTATTACTGTATACATTGAAGAAGTACAAATAATTTTCACAGATGTAATGTTATTTAAGTTTTCATTTTAAAACTTGCATAATTGTTTTTTTCACAGTAATTAATCTTTCAAAGCAAGACTCGTGTCATTGGAAAGAATTAGAAGTCTGCGCCATTAGAAGATCTCAGATTTTTCAGAGTGATCCCATTCCAAAAAACGAACAAGAAATAGAAAGTCGATGCCAGTAAGATGCAGTCAGCGTTATTTAAATAATTCTTATTGGAAAATAAATTTAAAATGACATATTCTATATTGTAATATTTCAGATACCTTAGAGAAATTGCAGCTTGTTTCAATAAATACACAGACAGATGTGCAACCCCTTTGTATCAGCAATTAATTTCTTTCGTCAATTCTGAATCTGAAGAAAATTTCAATCAATTCTGCACACCAGGAAACGAATTAAGAACGAGTAAAAATATATTTTTTATTGCTGGATTTAGTTGTATTGTTGCAATATTTTATTTACTTATTTTCATTTTACAGCATTACTAAAACACTCGGCATGTCTTTCTAAAGTATGGAAGGATCAGCAATCGTGTGCAAATGACGCTTTCGCTGCTATATCGAAGCTTCCTTCGACTCCTTCAAGTGATAGAGTAAATCTGGCTTGCTGGTACGTTTGAATTACTCAATACACATTATTAAATATTAGTTAAATAGCTAGTAACAATTGTTTTTTTAGTTCTTATGGTCGATTCCGAAAGTGTGGAGCCGATTTAATAGAGAAAGAATGTGGAGTCGAAGCAAAAGAATTTGTGGAGAAATTTATAGCATTTTCAGTGTCAAACTTACCTGATGTCGTGTGCCAAAATTACACACCGGAGGATGCCACGTGCAAGGCATTGTTACCTGCAGTGGGAACTGTGTCCAGTGGAAGTGATGATACTCCGTTTAATCGCTTTATTAAAATATTTACAAGTTCACTTTAACGCATGAACGTAGTAGATGACACGTAGTGATGAATGATTTATAAGTAAAATGTCAAAAATATCTTTAAATTCATGTAACAGAAAAGAATAAAGATATTTTGCCTAAAAGAAAAATTGTTTGCATTGTTAAAATTATTTTGGACGTTAACATTTTAGTTTATTCGTACGAAAACGGTTTTACATGAACTGCAGCACGAGATGGATGGGCGTTTTTCTTCGGATAGTTATTTTTAGTAAATTTATTTAGTTATTTCTGAAAGAAATTTTATCTCATAGAAGTATACGATACTACATTCTTTATATAACACATTGTTACTTCTTTATATAAACATATGAAACACGTATTATANTACATCAAAAACACTGACATTTTTATATTTATTTCATTTATAAATAAACGAAACAAATATTTCTAAACAATAAAATAACCTAAATTTTATATAAATAAATATATTATTATCTTATTAGTCGTATTTTTGTACTGTGATAATAAAATTGGACCTTATACAAATAAAAATTTATGTGGAAACTTGTATTTTCTATGAGAAACAATAGAAGAATTTCACAGGAAGTAACTAATTTGAAGACGTCACGAGTTATTTTCGAAAATCTCCTGTTATTTCATAAGTTATTTATTATCAAATACTTCAATTCTTCTAAATGTTAATAAATAATTACGAATTTCGAAATTGTTTCCAGAAAATTGCTCTTTCGACGACTATAAATAAGTAAAATGGCTTCAAAGTTGTACAGTTTTCACCTGTAAGTTGCAAGCATCTTCACTTCTATCATGAAGAATATCGTCTACTTTGTTTTATTTACTCTTGGTAAGTGTAAAAAAACTTTATAAATATTTACAATACACCTAGTTTTTTTCTATATTAGTAGGAGAAATATATATATGGGGTGCTTTATTCAGAAAACCAGTATTTATTTAGGTATTAAGCACGTGAAGAAAATAAGAGACTGCACTTCTTAGATCTGTCTATTCAGCTAATATTAGGGGATTTTAGAGATGATAGTTGTTTATAATAAATACTATAAGCAGAAATTATTGTAGATCATTATTTATAATATAAGTTTTTCTCCCTTATACTAGTGTCACTGTCAAAACAGGATTCGTGTCACTGGAGAGAATTAGAAGCGTGTGCAATTCGAAGCTCATTAATTTTTCAGAGTAATCCAATACCACAAAATGAAGCAGAAATTGATAGTCGATGCGAGTAAGTACTGTATTTAACGTTTATAAACAATAATTAAAGAAATATTAAATACATTTGAATATTTCAGATACCTTAAAGACACTACTGCATGTGTAAATAAATACACAGACAGATGCGCAACCCCTTTGTACCAGCAATTAATTTCTTTCGTCAATTCTGAATCTCAAGAAAATCTAAATAAATTCTGCACACCAGGAAATGAAATGAGAACGAGTAAAAAAAATTTATTTATTATTGATGGATTTAGTTGTATTGTTACAATATTTTATTTACTTATTTTAATTTTGTAGCATTACTAAAACACGCGGCATGCCTTTCTAAAGTATGGAAGGATCAGCAATCTTGTGCGAATGACGCTTTCGCTGCTATATCGAAACTTCCTTCGACTCCTTCAAGTGATAGAGTAAATCTGGCTTGCTGGTACGTTCGAATTACCCAATATGCACCATTTAATATTACTTAAATAGAGAGTAACAATTGTTTCTTTGTAGTTCTTATCGAAGATTCAGAAACTGTGGAGCCGATTTAATAGAAAAGCAATGTGGATCCGAAGCCAACGAATTCGTTGTGAAATTTATAGCATTTTCTGTGTCAAACTTACCTGACGTCGTGTGCCAAAATTTCAAACCGGAAGATGATACGTGCAAGGCATTGTTACCTGAAGCAGGAACAACACCCAGTGGAAGTAATAATTCACCGTTTAATCGTTTCATTAAAATATTCACAAGTTTATCCATAACAAAGTGAATAATAATGTAATTATTCATAAAAATCTTCAGTGTATTGTTGAAAAATATAAGAAATGTATTCTCTGTTTACAACATGTATTCATGAAAAGGAATTGAATAAAGAAACATTTGTTGTTTTTAATTTAGGTATTCATTTATAGTGATCTCAATACACAATAGAAAAACACTTGATTAAATGTAGGCTTACTAATAAATACGAGTAGTATCCATTACGAATTTCTTTGATGGATCCTTATTTGAATTTACACTTTAATTACACTGAAATTTCGTGTACAATTAAATTAGTCAATGCAAATTTTATTAACCTTGTGAAGGTTTCGCAGCCTTCATGTATTTCGCCTTTAATAAGTAAATGAATTTAATAACTCAAAACCTGTAAATAATATGTTATTTTGTAAAATAAGGTTACCATTTTACTTGAATAGTTTAGTTTGTTTGTTTTATTGAAAAAAAACAAGAAAACTTGGGCGATCTTTTAATAAGGAAGTGGCTTGTATTTAAATGTTAAACACTTATAGAAGGCTTGGAAAACCGTTCGTAAGACGTAAAACCCCAACTAATTGGGCACTTGCTTTATCCACTCGACTACGGATGGGTGTTTTGCTCTTTGAGCAAGGGTATGATTATGGTATTGTGTCTAATCGTTGATACCAAAACAATCACTTCTGTTAATTTAAACACTTCTAAATGAGAGGCAGACTACCATAAAAAGTTTTCCCGGTAGCACTTCCTCGGTACATCGCCCGTATGTCGTATTGTTGCATATCAGTGTATTTAAACGGGTGTGCCACGCGAGGATCGTAGGTGTGCCGCGAAAACTTTAGAAGCTTATTAAATAAATCATTTTCAAAGAACAATAAGTTTACAAGTCAAAAACAAAACCTTTTTGAATTGATTACACGAGTTTTATTTAATCTGTTAAAATGTATCTTTTGTGAATTAAATAAACAACATTGTTTTATTTAATTTACAGAACAATAGACAAAATTAAGTTAAGTGGCGTGTCATATGAATATAAAATGCTTACAAACACTACTAAAAATCACTGATTTTTAGTAGTGTTCGTTACTGATTTATTCTCGCTTCCGGTCGAACTGGAAGTTATTATGAAGGTACTCGGGACCTCCGACTCCTAATCATACCCGTATCTGTTCTCGATTTTCATCTATCTAACTCTATTCTCGAAAGTAAGGAAGGGTGGATAAATAGATTGATAACACTGATAATCTATAGGTCTGCAATTTGACAATTGCAACTCATTTCTTATTACTTCAATTATGTAAGATTAAGCAAGTAAATTGTAAGGTAATTGAAATTACATTATCCAAAAACGACAAACGACACGTGTTTTAATCTGGAATCTGCCTCGACAGCACACATACTTTCAAGCTCAAACATAAGTACTGTTTTTGATGATAGAGTCAAAAGGAATTCACTAAATAACACTTGTATTTAACCTTAAAATAAATTTATTTAGTGATAAAATCATTTAGTTCAAACACTATTGTAATTTACAGGTAAAACTGCTCCAAATATAAATTTATCATACAATAAATGAAATGTATGGTTCGTACAGCCGTTTAGTGATCGAATGGATAAAATAATTCAGCGGATAAAATCACAATCGTGTGTTCATATCTACGGCCACGTGCAGTTTTACAGACTTTCAACACTTGTATAACACTTGAACAGAAACCAGCTTCCACTAGTAGAAGATATCTATTCCTTGGCAGATCGCACGAGTGTTGCTGTGTAATATCTCATCATTACAATCGTTGCTGTCTAAAAAGTATTAAAATATTTCGTGAAGGCACTAATACAGCCTTCTGAAGAAGAACCGCAAGGCTCAGCAAGCAATAGGGCTTCCGGAAGATGAAACACGTGGACATTATTAAGCACAAATCATCTATGAAAATCCTTCAGTTTCCAATTTTCCAGATTGGTTCTGAGATCCCATAAACAGTAGGATGATTCTAATCGCTGCAACCATTACGCATGACTGAACCTTACGGATTTTAAACATTAAAAATAGAAGACTAATTTACAAATTTTAATTCATATGTAACATTTCTAAAGACTAGTTTATTTCAACTATAAATAACGTAATTTCTATTTAAGTAATAAACTATTATATTATTATTATTATACACTTGAACTATAACAATGAAATGGGTCATTAAAATTACGGTATTTTATGAAGAAATATCCTTTCACTTGACAAAACAAATTTCAATCTTCAATGTTATCTTAAATAGTAAAAATATTTTGAAATTAAACTCAGGAAATAATTACCACAACGAGTATAAATACGCTGAATATTTGTATTTGTGTACAGTCTTCAGTTCTAACTTCAGCACACCTTCAGTTGTAATATGAAGAACATTATCTACTTCACTATATTGACTCTTGGTAAGTGTAGGAATTCATAAAAAATTATATAATTAACTAAATACTAGTAACATATACTATCTTATAAAATATCAGAACGATAGCCACTTTAAAATACAAACAATAACCGTTGTTTGCAGGTTAAGTTGTATTTTACAATTTAAAATAATTATTTTTATTGAACAGTAATTAAACTTTCAAAGCAAGACTCGTGTCATTGGAGAGAATTAGAAGCCTGCGCCATTAGACAATCTCAGATTTTTCAGAATTATCCCATTCCAAAGAACGAAGAAGAAATAGAAAGTCGATGCCAGTAAGATGCAGTCAGCGTTATTTAAATAATACTTGTTAAAAAATAAATTCAAAATGACATATTCTATATTGCAATATTTCAGATACCTTAGAGAAACTGCAGCTTGTTTCAATAAATACACAGACAGATGTGCAACCCCTTTGTACCAGCAATTAATTTCTTTCGTCAATTCTGAATCTGAAGAAAATTTTAATCAATTCTGCACACCAGGAAACGAATTGAGAACGAGTAAAAATATATTTATTATTGCTGGATTTAGTTGTATTGTTGCAATATTTTATTTACTTATTTTCATTTTACAGCATTACTAAAACACTCGGCATGTCTTTCTAAAGTATGGAAGGATCAGCAATCGTGTGCGAATGACGCTTTCGCTGCTATATCGAAACTTCCTTCGACTCCTTCAAGTGATAGAGTAAATCTGGCTTGCTGGTAGGTTCGAATTACCAAATACACACCATTAAATATTAGTTAAATAGCGAGTAACAATTGTTTCTTTGTAGTTCTTATGGTCGATTCCGAAAGTGTGGAGCCGATTTAATAGAGAAAGAATGTGGAGCCGAAGCTAAAGAATTCGTGGGGAAATTTATAGCGTTTTCTGTGTCAAACTTACCTGACGTCGTGTGCGAAAATTACACACCGGAAGATGCCACGTGCAAGGCATTGTTACCTGAAGTTGGAACTGTGTCCAGTGGAAGTGATGATACTCCGTTTAATCGCTTTATTAAAATATTTACAAGTTTGTCTTAATACTGGATTCAAAATGTTAATATATAAATACCAGATATAAGCATGGTCTTTAAAGTGTAAATCGTTTTGAAAAATGAGTATTTTTATAACAAAGAAATAAAGACAGATTTATCATGAACACTTTCGTTGTTGGAATATTAGATTACAGTAGACTTTTCTCCAATTCGGCCTTCGATAATCTGGAATACTTCCAGTGTTATTGCCTATGCGCTGTCGTTTCTCTGAAAATGTCAGTCACTTGTTCTGTTTTAATGGTTACTCGGTTTTCATTTGTGTTAATAGCATTGCATATTTGCGCACAGTATTATTTGCATTCCAGCATCTAAAAATCACTCTATAGTATAGAGTCTATACCATTGGGTAGCAGTTGTCATTCCTTGCTAATGGGCAGATTATTCTCAGTAATTCAGCAGTTCTTTGCAGTATAAGAAATGGCCATATTAGCGTGAAAAATTATTAGTAAACGTACAGTAGATCTACCATAGTGATGAGTTGGAACTTTAAAACACTCATTGTATAATTAACTATGGTGTTAAGGTCTTACCTGCATGTAATAGAGATAACTATAACAAACGACAATCCCTTTTTTTTTATACTCTTTCCGCTCCGTGGGCACTAATATAGCCTGTTATAGCAGGCCCATTATGGTTTCGGCCAGGCCACAATGGGGCGGCCGGGTGGTGAGGGACGGGGACCACTCCCCCGGAAAATTCCAGGGGTTTACTTGACCTGTCCGGATTCGATGCCGAGTCTCCCAGAGCAGTAGGTGTCACCTTAGCCTCTTGGCCATCCGGCCTGCGACAATACCTTTATAAACATTACTATTTATTACAAAATTAATAATTCATGAAGATATATTTATTAAAGACTATACGCAAATTTAACTATTTTCTCTTAATAACTTCGAAATCTAGTATTAATGTTTCAAAATGAACCTAATTTCTGATAATGTTAATTATTAAAAATTAATTTATTTAAATTACATAGGTATACATAAACATTATATTCATTTACAAAAAATCTCGTACAAGAAAGAATATATAACACAATACTATTGGTACTGTAAAATAAACATAAAAAAATTACCGGTGACAAGCATATATGCAGTAACACCTCGATATTTCGCTGACCAATATAGCACTATCTCTTTATAGCGAAAACTAATGTTGGTGAATAGATATCACTTTTCTTCATTATCTGGGAATTACCAAATATTACTCCTTAGATATTCGTGTGACTACTCACATGACTCCAGACTAGGCACACTGTCGGTGTTTGTGCTGTGATCTTATTCGAGGAATGGCTTTGGCACGCTACGATTACGAATCAGAAAGCCTTTTAAACGGGTAATGTGGGTAATCGTGTATAAAAAATCGACACCAGATAAGAAATGCTTAAAGTCGTTTATATGATTTCCATTTTAACTTATCTAACTCGAAGTTATAGAAGAACAGATAAACAGACGGACGACACTAAAAATCTATTGGTCTGTAATTTAAAAATTGCAACCCAACAATAACGAATGTCCCATGACTTGAATTATGTAAAATTAAGTAATTTTAAGGTAATCGAGTTACACATGAGAATGGAATTAAAAGTACTTCACTAATATAACACTTTAATTTATTGAAGCTGATTAATTGCTTTAAAATTTAATTAATAATAAAAAAATAGTTTAAAGCAGTGGTCCCCAACCTCAGGGCCTCGGACCGGTACCGGTTCGTAGATCAAATGGTACCGGGCCGCCCAAGGAACATCAAATTACTGGTATTTCCATTTTATTTACTATGGTGAATTTCTCTCTGTTTGTGCAACTTTTAATAGACGACGGGACAACGGAATAAACTGGACATAAGAAACACACTTCGGGTGTCATTGTCTCCTATTACCCCGAGATGGAACTGTCTTGTTGCATAAAAACAAGCTCAGGGTTCTCAGTGATTTAGCGTTCTAGTGAGTTAAAATGTTAAATCACATTATATTCATTTTTTGGTGTAACTGTATTTTATTTTGAAGGCATGTTGAAATACAATTAAATTAAATCAATCTAAAATATAAACAATCAACGTCCCCCCTCAGTGGGCCTCGGTAAAATATCAAACGTTGACAGGTCCGCGGCAATAAAAAGGTTGGGGACTGCTTGTATAAAGGATGTATAAAAATTTGCACTTTACACTTTTTCGTTGTAAACATTTCTTGATTGTATATATGACACGTGTAAACAGTATTCAGATAAAGAAAGTGATGAAGCTGAAGCAACGTGAAGCTGATTTTTATCATGTGTATGAAACGTAAACAGAGCGAACTTCGTATACAAAGTCCTCTCGAAACGTATTTTCCTCTTAGTAGAATGTCCATGTGTTGCACTGCGATATTCCATTAATTCAACCCTTCACACGTAAAAGGTACGTCTTGAGTTTATTTAAAGATGTTTTTCTGGGCGCTAACAGAGCTTGTTTTCAAATACATCCCGTGCCAAGACAGTTATATTAGTAACAAATCACACCCGAAAAATTCTCCAGGATTCCAATTACCTGGATTTGACGTCGGAATTCCGAAACACATAACAACACTTTAATTGTCTCGATCATCCGACACGCTAACAATTTGAGTATAAAATGTTACAAATAAATTCAAATATAATATTTCTAAAGAATACTTTACGTAAACTATAAATAACATAAATTTTATTTAAGTAATAAATTATTATACTATTAATATACACTTGAACTATAATAATGAAATGGGTCATTAAAATTACTGCATTTTATAAAGAAATTTCAATGTTTAATGTTGTGTTAAATAAACAAAATATTTTGAAATTAAACCCAAAAAATAATTGCTACAATGAGTATAAATACGCCGAATATTTGTACTTGTGTACAGTCTTCACTTGTAACTTCAGCACCTTCAGACCTAACATGAAGAACATAATCCACTTCACTATTTTCACTATTGGTAAGTGTGAGCAGTTATATAAATTTATATATTTGTTTTTACGCTGATATAGTAGTACAGTCGACCCCCCTATAACACTGTTGATTATTCCGTTTTATATGAATTCCATGTTGTACGAGTCACTTAGATTTTACAAATATGTGTGCCGGGCTGTGAACGGCTCACGTATTTGTAAAATCTAAGTGACTCGTATAACATGGAATTCATATAAAACGGAATAATCAACAGTGTTATAGGGGGGTCGACTGTATATATGGTATACATTAAAACCTTTCAAACACTATAATATAAATATTCTTTGCTGAAAAAATAAATTAATTTAGTGTGCAGTATAAACAAGTGTAATGTCTTTATCTATAACTGACGTAAATTTGGTTTATTTTAGTATCGAAATTACACGAAAATTCATAAAAAACAGTAATTAATGAATTCGGTAATTATTACTGTATACATTGAAGAAGTACAAATAATTTTCACAGATGTAATGTTATTTAAGTTTTCATTTTAAAACTTGCATAATTGTTTTTTTCACAGTAATTAATCTTTCAAAGCAAGACTCGTGTCATTGGAAAGAATTAGAAGTCTGCGCCATTAGAAGATCTCAGATTTTTCAGAGTGATCCCATTCCAAAAAACGAACAAGAAATAGAAAGTCGATGCCAGTAAGATGCAGTCAGCGTTATTTAAATAATTCTTATTGGAAAATAAATTTAAAATGACATATTCTATATTGTAATATTTCAGATACCTTAGAGAAATTGCAGCTTGTTTCAATAAATACACAGACAGATGTGCAACCCCTTTGTATCAGCAATTAATTTCTTTCGTCAATTCTGAATCTGAAGAAAATTTCAATCAATTCTGCACACCAGGAAACGAATTAAGAACGAGTAAAAATATATTTTTTATTGCTGGATTTAGTTGTATTGTTGCAATATTTTATTTACTTATTTTCATTTTACAGCATTACTAAAACACTCGGCATGTCTTTCTAAAGTATGGAAGGATCAGCAATCGTGTGCAAATGACGCTTTCGCTGCTATATCGAAGCTTCCTTCGACTCCTTCAAGTGATAGAGTAAATCTGGCTTGCTGGTACGTTTGAATTACTCAATACACATTATTAAATATTAGTTAAATAGCTAGTAACAATTGTTTTTTTAGTTCTTATGGTCGATTCCGAAAGTGTGGAGCCGATTTAATAGAGAAAGAATGTGGAGTCGAAGCAAAAGAATTTGTGGAGAAATTTATAGCATTTTCAGTGTCAAACTTACCTGACGTCGTGTGCCAAAATTACACACCGGAGGATGCCACGTGCAAGGCATTGTTACCTGCAGTGGGAACTGTGTCCAGTGGAAGTGATGATACTCCGTTTAATCGCTTTATTAAAATATTTACAAGTTCACTTTAACGCATGAACGTAGTAGATGACACGTAGTGATGAATGATTTATAAGTAAAATGTCAAAAATATCTTTAAATTCATGTAACAGAAAAGAATAAAGATATTTTGCCTAAAAGAAAAATTGTTTGCATTGTTAAAATTATTTTGGACGTTAACATTTTAGTTTATTCGTACGAAAACGGTTTTACATGAACTGCAGCACGAGATGGATGGGCGTTTTTCTTCGGATAGTTATTTTTAGTAAATTTATTTAGTTATTTCTGAAAGAAATTTTATCTCATAGAAGTATACGATACTACATTCTTTATATAACACATTGTTACTTCTTTATATAAACATATGAAACACGTATTATATAAGTAATTAAAAATATTAATCTTTATATTAACTTTTATCCGTTTCGTTCCCTTATTTCTAATTCTCAAAATACCTTTTTCGCAAAATGAATTGTCTTCAACCTTTGTGTTGTAAAAACTGGTCGTCATCATGAAAGAATTTATGTAAAAATTCGATGAAAATCTGAAAAATTAACATCCTGACGTACAAATTCCCGACTAATCGACATTCTGTTGTACAGAATACAGAATTCTGACACATGAACATCTTGACGTACGTAAAGTCCATAGGATCAAACCCTGAAAGTAGTTAATAATACTTTCATAATTATTTAATTTTCTAAACTATTAATACTATATTTTTTCTTCCGGAAAAGCACTACAGTATACGGAATTCTTGAAATACTAAATGAATTTATTTAATGAAACTATTTATTGTTATTTTGAACCCATTGATTAATACAGTACTTAATTGGAATAGAGTATTTTGTAAGAAAAAAATTGTATTTTATCTACTAATACATGAAACGTTTCTTCGTACCAGAGAATTGTCATTAGTTTATGAGATTTGCCTATTGATTGATGTTAACGAGTTAAAAGGGTCATAAAAAGGCGATAAAATTCACACAATTCTTCACAATAATGACAATTTTTATACCAAACTCTCTAACGATCCCCATGGGATTAAGACGTATTTAGAATTATAAACACTGGAAATGCACTCGTACTCAAAATTGCATTTTTATGTATGGTTGTTCTTTTATGGAAGCACTCACAAATTATATGAAACTGAAAAGGGGTGGGAATTTACATTAGCCCGAGATGAGTACGTAGAAGAGAATATTGAATAATAAATTATAAGTAGTTAATTAAACCATTTAATATTTGTTTGCTGTAGAAAATACTATACCTGATATAAAGGATTATCAGGATTAGAAACGTTTTGAATAAAAAGTGTCTGGAACACAACAAACTGATTCCTCGAATACTTTTAAACCAATTTTCCTTTTTCAGTGCCAATCTCGTCCTTCTTGCCTTCACATCCACCTGAAGAATGATCCCTGGAGTCACTCCTTACCTGAGACTTTAACATCATCTCTTTTTCTTTTAACATTGTTGAAGTTATTAATAAAGTGAGACATTATCTTTTAAATTGTCTTCCATAGCTCTGTATCGATCTTCTACTTCTATATCTTTCCCGTTGCATTTAACAAGATGCGGGAGCCGCCAAACGCAAGTTATTATGTATATTTACTAGATTTATCGATTTAACTGTAACGTATTTAAGACATGAAAGAATTAGAATGGTGATAAATTTCACTCTCGATACTTTCTGCAAATCTCCACGTCATGAGGCCTTCTGAATTTAAAACAGGAAATGATTCTTTGGAAGGAGCTTATATGTATGTACTATTGATGTGTTTGTGTGTTTTTTGGCTTCTGTTTCTTTTAATATCTTTGGATAGGGTAATGTATAAGAAACGAAATTTGGCAAAATCGTGTGTATAAGAAACATTCAAGTTATTAAATTTTGATAGTTAAAGGTCAAGGGAGTGGAAAAATGGAGTCATATCTCGAGTGAGATCGGACTTAATGACGCATTTACTCGTTATTACAATTTATAACGTTTTATAAAACTCTTCTATACCTTTAAAATGAAGCTTTCTGCCATTTTATAATAATTATTAATATATAAAGTTTTAAAAATTTATTTAAAAAATTACACCCAATTAATTTTACATTTTGTTTGCCGTGAAAGTTATGCAACTCGTTGCTAACTTTTTTTTGACAGGTAAAATTTTACACAACTTATATTGCATTAAAAATATCACAGAAAGAATGAAATGTTTTAACTTCATCGTAAATAACCTCATTTCTAAATAACAAACAAGTTAATTATTACTATTATATTAATCATACATTCGAACAGTAGAATTGATACGGGTCATTAAAATAATGTTATTTATGAAGAAAAATGTTTAAAATTATTGAGTTCAAGAAGTCACGAATGTAGAAAATAAGGTATTATTATCTAATAAACTAATTTTTATCTACATAATAGCTAAATCTTGAAATTTCTTTTAGAAAATTACTCATACTTCGACTATAAATACGCATAACACTTCTACAATTGTACACTTCTTACTGCAAGGTGTACGTATTCCAGCTATACAATGAAGGCTGCATGCTTTATTGTCTTTACTTTCTGTAAGTTAATGCAATGAAATAATTTAGTATATTAAATTACGTAATTCTCTACCTCTATGTCTGATTTAAATCGCTTAATATGTCGAAAACTTTTATAAAAATCCCAACAAAACAATATACGATAAGAAATATTTAGGAATATAGATTGATCTTTCATGGTTTAACGTTGATCGTTGATGATACAATCAAGATTTTTAATTCATTACTTTAATTGGTTACCAAAAACCGTAATCTTACAGCCAAAAACAAATACAACTATTAATTATAATTAATTGAAAAGAATTAACTGGTTAATTTATTGTATGACTAAAGCAATTTTTCTCAACTTTGTAATGTATTCCTTAAATAACTAAATGTTCGGGTGTCCAAATTTCTTTAGAAAAAAACATAGTTTTAAATTTTAAATTACATTGCGTGATTAAAGTCTTTAAAACTTAAATAATTTCCTTAGTAATTCAACTGTCAAAACAAGACTCGTGTCATTGGAGAGAATTAGAAGCATGCGCCATTAGAAGATCTCAGATTTTTCAAAGTCATCCCATTCCACAAAACGAAGAAGAAATCCAAACACGATGCGAGTAGGTATTTTCTACAAAAAGAAGATACGAAAATTTATCTAGATGTAGCGACACAATACAATTGCTTTTGAAATTAACATAGAATCAGAGTGTGACACTAAACCGAACAATTTCACATAAACTAAAAATGAGTTAAATTAATGAAATCTACAATGAAATTTGATATTTGAAACTTTAAATGCCAGATAATTTTCTAATAATAATATCCTTCGCAATGTAAATTTCTGTATTTAATAACTAAGAGGAATTATTAACAAAATATATATTCACGTATATTTATTGGGGCTTCTCGAGGTTAGCATTATTTCAAGTTTAACTATATATCACATTATAATATTTCAGGTACCTAAAGGAAACTGCAGCTTGTTTCAATAAATACACAGACAGATGTACAACTCCTCTGTACAAGCAATTAATTTCTTTTGTCAATTCTGAACATCAAGAAAATTTCGATCAATTCTGCACACCAGGAAACGAATTGAGAACGAGTAAAAATATATTTAATATTGCTGGATTTAGTTGCATTGTTGCAATATTTTATTTACTTATTTTCATTTTACAGCATTACTAAAACACGCGGCATGCCTTTCTAAAGTATGGAAAAATCAACAATAGTGTGCAAATGACGCTCTCGCTGCTATATCGAAACTTCCTTCGACTCCTTCAAGTGATAGAGTAAATCTGGCTTGCTGGTAGGTTCGAATTACCAAATACACACCATTAAATATTAGTTAAATAGCGAGTAACAATTGTTTCTTTGTAGTTCTTATGGTCGATTCCGAAAGTGTGGAGCCGATTTAATAGAGAAAGAATGTGGAGCCGAAGCTAAAGAATTCGTGGGGAAATTTATAGCGTTTTCTGTGTCAAACTTACCTGACGTCGTGTGCGAAAATTACACACCGGAAGATGCCACGTGCAAGGCATTGTTACCTGAAGTTGGAACTGTGTCCAGTGGAAGTGATGATACTCCGTTTAATCGCTTTATTAAAATATTTACAAGTTTGTCTTAATACTGGATTCAAAATGTTAATATATAAATACCAGATATAAGCATGGTCTTTAAAGTGTAAATCGTTTTGAAAAATGAGTATTTTTATAACAAAGAAATAAAGACAGATTTATCATGAACACTTTCGTTGTTGGAATATTAGATTACAGTAGACTTTTCTCCAATTCGGCCTTCGATAATCTGGAATACTTCCAGTGTTATTGCCTATGCGCTGTCGTTTCTCTGAAAATGTCAGTCACTTGTTCTGTTTTAATGGTTACTCGGTTTTCATTTGTGTTAATAGCATTGCATATTTGCGCACAGTATTATTTGCATTCCAGCATCTAAAAATCACTCTATAGTATAGAGTCTATACCATTGGGTAGCAGTTGTCATTCCTTGCTAATGGGCAGATTATTCTCAGTAATTCAGCAGTTCTTTGCAGTATAAGAAATGGCCATATTAGCGTGAAAAATTATTAGTAAACGTACAGTAGATCTACCATAGTGATGAGTTGGAACTTTAAAACACTCATTGTATAATTAACTATGGTGTTAAGGTCTTACCTGCATGTAATAGAGATAACTATAACAAACGACAATCCCTTTTTTTTTATACTCTTTCCGCTCCGTGGGCACTAATATAGCCTGTTATAGCAGGCCCATTATGGTTTCGGCCAGGCCACAATGGGGCGGCCGGGTGGTGAGGGACGGGGACCACTCCCCCGGAAAATTCCAGGGGTTTACTTGACCTGTCCGGATTCGATGCCGAGTCTCCCAGAGCAGTAGGTGTCACCTTAGCCTCTTGGCCATCCGGCCTGCGACAATACCTTTATAAACATTACTATTTATTACAAAATTAATAATTCATGAAGATATATTTATTAAAGACTATACGCAAATTTAACTATTTTCTCTT